GCCGCTTCTGCGAATTAGTGCATCTGGTGAGGAGAAGTTACAACATCCTTGTAAGTGTGGGAAGGCAGCATGACATGGACAACAATCACATGTTGGCCTCTATTGAGAGGAAGTTGAGCCAAGGAGACCGCAAGGTATGGTTCAGATGCCAGGAGAAGGATGAAGATCCAGCATCACTACACATGCTCCTGGAGTGGATGGCCAACGAGATGAAGGCCAGGATGCGTGCCTCAGCCCCGCTACGTAGTGAATCCCGCAAAGGAGCTGTTGGTTTCTGTGCGCAGAAAGACACGAAGCCAGATAAGGAGCGGAAGTGGGTTCAAACACCTAGTGCCAAAGACAGGTGTTGGATCTGCCACTCATCAGACCACTGGATAGACCAGTGCAAGAGGTTTATCTCCAAACCAGCATCAGAAAGATTGCAGATTGCCAAGGAGAATCGGGCTTGTTTTAGCTGCCTTAAGCAAGCAGAGAGGGGGCATTTGATGGCAACATGCAATAGACGCAGACAGTGTCCAGAGATGAGACAAGGCCAAAGGTGTAAATTCTATCACCATCCATTGCTGCACCTGGAGTGGGTACCGAGGCAAGATGATAGTTTGGAGCAAACCCAACGAGGCCAAGTGGGAGTCGCTACAGTTGTAGCTAAGGAGTCTCTTCTACCCATTGTTTTGGCAGAGGTCTTAGGATGCAATGGTGATATGAAGGAGGGAAACGTGTTGCTAGACTCTGGTGCCCAGATAAGCCTTATCCGGCAGGAGTTAGCAACAGAGCTGCAGTTAGAGGGCACACCTACAACCATTACCATTTGCAAGATTGGAGATGAGCAGGAGCTTCTGCACACTAACATCTACAAAGTGCTAGTTAGAGAGAAAGGTGAAGGTGGCAAGCCTTTTACTGTGTCAGCCATAGGAATTCCGTGCATTAGCGAGCATGTACAGGCTATCAACTTGGACGATCTAGCAAGGAAGTTTCGCATAAAACGGAAGGATCTACATAGAAGTAGTGGACCTGTGGACATTTTGATAGGAGTTGACCACACAAGGTTTCATTGCGGTGAAACCAGGGAAGTTGGCAACTTTATTGCTAGAAAGTCAAGGATAGGATGGGTTATCTTTGGAGCAACACGTGGTGACAGAGTGCAGAGCAGTGCAGTACTGCATGTAAAGTTAGCAGCACCTGTAGATTTGACGGACTTTTGGTCAGTTGAGACAGAGGGAGTGAGGCCTGAAGGATGCCAGTGTATAGAGAGCAGACTCACTAGACAAGAGGTGATAGAGGAACAGGTGATCAGGTCCTCAGCTCACAAGATTGGAAAGCAGTGGCAGATAGCCTACCCTTGGCAACGAGATCCCGAGATGTTGCCTGACAATAAGTGGCAAGCAGAGAAGGTGCTTCAGTCCACCGAGAAGAGGCTTGCCCGGAATCCTGAGCACGCTAAAGCTTATGACCAACAGATCCAGGAAATGGAGGATATGGGGTTTGCCAGGAAGCTTTCACCCCAAGAGATGGAGTGCCATGAAGGGCCAGTACATTATATCTCCCATCATGCTGTTGTGAGAGCTGAGAAAAAGAGTACTCCAATCCGGATAGTATTCAACGCGTCAGCATCATTCCAAGGCCATAGTTTAAACGAGTACTGGATGAAAGGGCCTGACCTCTTGAACAGTCTACCTGGAGTGTTGTTAAGATTCAGGGAGAAGTACATCGCCATTTGTGCAGATATCTCCAAGATGTACCACAGGGTGCTCATACCAGAGAGTGACCAACATGTGCACAGGTTTCTTTGGAGAAACATGGATGTCAGTAGAAGGCCAGACGTATACATCATGAAGGTAGTAACCTTTGGAGATAAACCGGCAGCAGCAATGGCGCAGATTGCTCTCAAGATGACTGCTGAGCAGGGGGAGAGTAAATACCCAGAAGCAGCCAATGTACTCAAGAGGAATGTGTACATGGACGATATTTGTGACTCCGTGGAGACGCTTTCTGAAGCAGAGAGGCTCACCGGCGATATAGATGAGGTACTTTCAAATGGTGGCTTTAAAGTGAAGGGATGGTTATCAAATAAACCATTGCATGGAGACAACAAGGAAGGAGAAATGAAGCTGCTAGAAGCCCTTGCTGAAGAGAAAGTGTTGGGTGTCGTGTGGGACAAGAAAGACGATGTGTTCTCATACAGAGTAAAGTTCCGTGAAGGAGTGATGCCTTCAGTCAATGAAGGAGAGAGCCGTCTGAAACTCACCAAGAGGAAGATTCTAAGCCAGGTAGCCCGCGTCTTTGATCCCATTGGCTTTGCAGCTCCGATCATCGCACGTGCTAAGATGGGTCTACAGAGGCTATGGCAGATGGGTCTAGGATGGGACGATCCATTACCAGAGAAAGAGCAAACTGAGTGGACTAAGTTGTTTGAGGAGATGACTTTGCTCAACAATGTCAAACTGAGGAGATGTCTTACACCACAAGATGCAAGAGGCAAGCCAGTTCTGTGCATTTTCAGTGATGCTTCAGAAAGTGCATATGGTACATGTGCGTACCTTAGATGGCGGACTGATGACAATAAGTATGAGGTGCGGTTTGTGGCAGCTAAGTCAAAGGTAGCACCACTCAAGACTTTGACGATGCCTCGTCTCGAACTTCAAGCAGCAGTAGTAGCCGCGAGACTTTACAAGGCAATCAGCGAGGAGATAAGGCTGGAGATAGAGAAGGTGGTTTTCTTCGTTGACAGCATGATTGTTTTCCACTGGATCAAGTCGCCTGCGAGAAGCTTCAAGGCGTTTGTGTCAAGCAGAGTGGGGGAAATTCAGAGTTTAACAGATCCCTCACAGTGGAAGCACATCCCAGGAACAATGAATGCCGCTGATGATGTGTCAAGAGGAGTAACTGTTGACAAGCTGGCTGAAGTGTGGAAGCATGGCCCTAGCTTTCTCTACACTGATGAATCAGAATGGCCAGTAGATGAGCCCGAGGCAGATCAGCGGGCTGTTGATAGTGAGCAGAGGAAGTCTCCGGCAGTATTCTCAGTACATGAGACAAGTGAATTGCTAGAGTGCAAGAAGTTCTCTAAATGGAGAAAATTACTGAGGGTGACAGCCTACGTGATGAGATTCGTTAATATCTTGAAGTCCAGAATCCATAAGGGGTCTCTACCCGACGAGAAGACGACTCTAACTACCACTGAGTTAGAGAGAGCTGAGATGTATTGGATAAAGGTAGCCCAGGAGAGAATCAAGCCACACTTCAAGAAGGGAGACTTCAAGGTGCTCACTCCTTTCATCGATGAGGAAGGGGTGATCAGAGTTGGTGGTAGAGTGGGAAACATGGACATATCATATGAAGCTAAGCATCCTGTTCTACTCCCATATGACCATGGTATTTCACTTCTGATCACTAGGTACATGCATGAATCGGGTCACCATGGTGTAGCAGCGACGACAGCCAGGACAAGAAAGAGGTTCTGGATCCTGAAGGGACACCGGCTTGCTAAGTCGGTAAAGCACCGCTGCGTGGTATGCAGAGCAGCAGCATGCCAGGCAGAGATACAGCAGATGGCCAGCCTACCAAGCATCAGAGTAGCTCCGTTCACGCCGCCGTTTCATTTTACGTCGTGTGATTACTTCGGCCCATATCATGTGAAAGTTAGTCGAAACAAGAAAGCGAAGCACTATGGCGTGATTTTTACTTGTTTGAATACAAGAGCGGTTCACCTTGAGCTAGCAGTAGATTGTTCAACGCAAGAGTTTCTACAGGTTCTCAGAAGGTTTTTCGCGATTAGAGGTCACCCTAAGGTCATCATGAGCGACAACGGTACTCAGTTTGTGGGTGCCAAGCGTGAGTTACGAGAGATGGTGAAAGGGTGGGATGATGTGCAGCTTCGAGATTTTTGTGCAGAGATAGGAGTTGAATGGCAGTTCACCACGCCATTAGCTCCACATCAGAATGGATGTGCCGAGGCACTTGTTAAAAGTTGTAAGTTTGCTCTACACAAAGCAGTAGGTAGTCAGTGTTTAACACCCTTTGAGCTGTACACATGTTTAGTTGAGATAGCAAACCTAGTAAACCAGCGACCCGTTGGTAGGATACCGAATGATCCAGATGATGGAAGTTATGTTAGTCCTAATGATATGTTGTTAGGAAGAGCGTCGCGAAGCGTACCCCAAGGTCCGTTTAGGGAGACAGAGAATCCGCGTCATCGCGTCGAGTTCGTACAGCGTATAGTAGATTCGTTCTGGAGACGCTGGTCTCGAGATGTTCTTCCGCTCCTCGTGCCTAGCAAGAAGTGGAACACAGAGCGTCGTAATGTACGCGTGGGGGACGTCGTCATGACCGCAGAAGCAAACGCGGTACGCGGAAAGTGGACAATTGCCAGGGTGATACAAGTGTATCCTGGTGCTGATGGTAGAGTTAGGAACGTACAGTTGAAAACAGCGGTGGGCATATATCGCAGACCAGTTACAAAGATAGCGGTTATTTATCCCACTGAAGGCTACGATGAGAGCGTATAGGATTTATAGACAACTCTGAAAAGGTCTTGAACAGAAACTAGAATAAAACTTCAGTAAAAGTTTTCTATGTATTTGTCTATGTTAATATAATTAAGTCTTGAATTGAGACTAAGGTATATGAGGAAAAGTCCTCATCCGGGGGGAGGATGTTTCGCTGAGCGAAATTTATTTTGTGGTTTTTTCAGCAAGTCGAAAATCTTAGAAGAGATTTTTAGAGTTCAGATTCTTTGTTTCATAAGATAAGAAAAAAGGTTCATTTTGTTAATTATAATATCTGAAAAGCTAGATATTCATTCTCTTTCAGCCTAAATGAAGCATTTAGGTGTTTTATAGAAGGTGAATTGGCAATTTAAATATTTACAATATCTGTTGTATTCATGATCGATGTTTTTTATAGTAGGATTTGAAATGGCTTTTCTTTGAGTATTTGTTTTTCAAGGATACCTTACTTTCGACTTCGATAAGTAGCGAAGCCATTTTAGTCACTTGTTCGTGTTGTCTGTCGAGCGTCAAGTCACTGGAGATGAGCTCTCCAGTTTTCCCAGTTTTCCCGTTTTTGTCCTGTTTGACAGTGACATCAGTGAGCCCAGTGTTTCGGCAGTAAATTGCTAAGTTCCGGCCAAAGAAGTGAGTTTCTGATATATAGATAAAATGTGTAAATTATAAGTTGAATTTCATTCGTTCAACTTCAGTAATCATTGAATCGCACGTGTGAAAGTGAATATTATACGTGTGATGCTATGCCAGGGACATTACTGTATAATTTGTTGCCGTTTTGACGAAGAGTGAAAGTGGATAAATGTAAAGGGATATAAGAGAAAATAATTTAGGCGAGATTTGGTCAATTTATAATGACCTGCATTGTGTTTATTTAGTCAGAGCAAGGGAAGTTTTGCTTTGAAATATTGATGTAGATTTCTGGAAAATGTAATTTACAAGCAAGTGGTTTGTACTGTGCAGGGTGTAAATTTCACCTACTTAATTATGCGCACAGCTAGAGCCAAGCTTTATACATAGGGCTTTGCATTGGAAGCAGTCTTCATGTTTTTAGTTATCTTTGTAACATAAACAGAGAGTTATGTATTGTAGGTTTGTGAAGACTTATTGAGTATAGTTCTGATAAAGGAATTTAGTCACAATTGTAATGTGGATTATTAGGAACAAATGTTGATTTTCAGATTGGGTTGATATTTTGGAAAGGTGTGATTTAAACACGTATAATGAGATAGGCTTTTGGATTTCAGCCGTAGCATTTATTTTCGTTAGGCATTTATCAAGATGTTTATGAAAGTATACATTTGTAGTCACAAATGTTAAATAGTTGCCTTTATGAATTATGCAAATACAAATGCATGTTTATGTATAGGTACCAAATCACAAGGTTCAGGTTTAGGACAGTTTGGGTATTTAATATACAAGTGGTGTATATTTATGAGTACAAGTTCATTAAGTTGTCATGGTATTAGAGGCACTCAGAAATAAGAAAACAAAGGAAACTTTTTCGTGCAATACTTATTAATTTATTGTATTTTCTGTGCATCTGATTCTCATTACAGATTGAATTTTGATTCTGTGTTGTCTTCGACTCTTCGTTTGAGGAAGCAAATAAAGACGTCATAATCCCATTTCGAGTTTGGAACTTTAGCAATTTGTATCATGGTCAGCGAACCACACAGTGTGCAGGACCATTTCTGTGACTAGATGATCTACATTTGGGTGGGGCAGGCCCCTCCTCATTCATAATGTGCACAACAATCCTTTTGAGGCAAAGGATGGCATGGAGGTTGCAATTTTTCCCCTAACAGACCTCTAATGTCAATGCTAAGGCCGTCCAGGCCACTTTGGCCAGAAAGAAGTGGTCAGAAAGAAGTGACCAAAGGCCCAAACAAATGTATATGATTGCACAACAGGTATACGTTGAGTCACAAGTTTGTGTGAGACGCATTGAGGCCTTTAAGAAGGGAATTTTGGCAAAATGTTGCGTACCAGCTTGGTTGTGTGGTAGCTAGGTTGTTGAGGAATTATTTCAGAAAAGTTTTAAATTTTCAGAGTGCAGCCAAACAACATGGCCTCAGAACACCTCTAGAGTAGGCTAGACGTGACCACTGGACTCCATAGAGTACCGAAGTGCTAACGTCATATTCCAGGTTATTGGTTCCGAACAATAGAGCCTGTGCGTGAGGTCACCATGAAATCATTCAAGCAACAGGCTGGAGCAGGGCAAATTCAGTGTTTGGTGCTGGTGTTATCACCATGCCACTGCTTAGTACAAAATGGTTAGGAACCAGTAACCTTGGAAATTTGGCCAGTATTGTCACATCTCCATAATCTATAGGAACTGGGCAATGGTACATTATACATAGCAAACTCAACACCTGATACATTGTAGATGAGGAATTACTCCCTACTGATAATCATCTACGTAAGGCCTTCTCAACTAGTTTATTAGAAGTGCCAAAACGAAAATGTTTTGAGGTTGAAGTACCAACCTGTATGTTTGGTGACTGTGTTGCGAGGGAGCGTAGAGGTCGAGCCGACAATGGGTGAAGTCCAGGGGGCAAAGCCCCCTGAAGCAGGTGGATTTTAGGGCTTTTTAAAGGCCCAGATGAGGTATTTTTAACACCCTTTTATTCCAAAATATATAAATCATCATTTCATATTGATGTGAAATAATAAGTACAGTTTCTGGGTACGATCTACACTGGGAGTAAATTTATATGTAGTTATTTTGGTGCAATAAACACAGAAAATGTCAAAATTAAGTGAAAATCAAACACAAAATGGCTTGCTCACACTTTAGGCTCAACTTCGACTGCGACTTTTTGATTTTGCTGAGTTTTTAAATTTTAAAATATAGTTTTTTAATTTTTTCTTTCTTTCTTTTTTTAAATTTATTCATTTATTTTTTATTAAATTTTTGGAACAGCCGCGCCCCACTCCGACTGACCGCAAGCGCCACAAGTGCCAGTTGAGAAGGCCTGATCTACATTGTACATGTACATCACCTGGATAAGTGTTGCAAATGTAAATTCATGTCTTTCAAGGCGTTTGATAGTGTAGGTGAAATATTCTACCAATGAATTTTCAAACCACAGCCATTGCACCTCATTCCAAATCCTTGGATCTGGGTTTCAGGCTTTCAGTCTTCTTTGCTTTGTTAGTGGATGTTATGAAATGCTAGCTGATTCTGCCAATTATTTTCCTATCATAACTCATCAAAACTATTCTAAGGTTGTAAAGGTATTGTATCATAAAGTAATCTTCCATGTGTATTAACCTGTAACCATGCATATCATGTTTCACTACCAACAGGCCATGGAATAATAGCTATGTTCATATGGGCCCATTAAACTTTCAGTTTGCGGAATCTCAAAGTTATAAATACAATCCGCTAAGCGCGACGTGGGTGCATGGCCCCCCAAAAATGAGAATTCCAAGTTGAACTATGTGCTAGGGAAAGCATTCATTTAAACTACAAGCTACAAGCTAGGGTAACCTGGAAGTTAATTGCATCTGCACAGCACATGCATTCATTTTGAGCGAAGAACCCCACTGCACGTAGTTATCGTGCTGTCATGGTTTATAGCTCGGAGTTAACTTAAAGTATTGTAACCACGAATGCATCCGCACAGTCCCTACCTACTAATACTTCAACAAACTTATTCTAAAGTTAACAAACTGTTGTATGAACCTCACTGATATTCTCACAGTAGTAAAGGGTACATGTCGAGGGGTCAGTGACACAAAGACGTCACTCCATTTTTACCATTTTGAGAAAAAGTGATTTGTGTGTCACTGAGCACTTGGGCCTTAAGGAGTTAAGTCCATGTTTCACTTCATTGAGGTGTTAGGTGGAGTTAGGTCTTTGTGTTTCCCGGAAAGCCCACATTTTTCTGAACATCAAATACTCATTTTGGCAAAATATGGAGTTACATCTTTGTGTCACTGAACCCTTGATGTATGCTTTCAGCCTGACAGCATCAGTGGCCCAACCAAGACCATGCATGACATGCATTGAATAAATTCAAAGAATCAAATCAGCCCACCATTAAAGGGGAACGAGCCTTGTATATTTGCTACCAAGATAATGAACATGAGATGAGGACCTTGGTTTGCTGTCCTCACAGTCAACCTTACCATGTATTCAACTCTAACCTGCTTTCTTATAGTAACGATCACCACCAAGGTCAAAGTCAGAGCTCTGTCACTTTCAGTCTCAGCATCATTTTTCAACTCCCTCTCCGATTGGATACAAATTTAATCACAAGATCAAAGATTGTTTTCTTCATCGGGGTATTGCAATGAAATGGAGATTGAGAGAAAGTGTCGAACCGGATTTGCAGATGGGTTTGCCAACAGAAAACAAAAAATCCAAATAAGCAAGGAACAATGAAACATAACAAACAAGACATCTGGATATTACAATTGGCTTACAAATTTTCAAAAGGAAATGTTAAATGTTATTAATCTAAAAATACAAATACCACCCCGCCCCCTTCCCCCCCCCCCCCCCCCCCCCCCCCCCCCCCCCCCCCCCCCCCCCCCCCCCCCCCGCAGCTCTCATGTATGATTGTATGATCTTGAAACTTGAAACTCACGACAATCAGAATCCAAGTTATAATATATTATTCAGTAGTGAAAGAATTACTGGTTTTGTTTATATATGTAAGAGTCACAAATGTTGGTCTCACATCCATGTAGTGTTTTCATGACAAAAATCTCACTCTTTCTCCCTGAATTAGACATTGTGTAAAGATACATGTACATGTACATCGGAACTGAAGTCTTTATTGAGGCAGGCCAGCATGGTTTGCCAAAGTTCCAGAAACTATGTTTCAAATGATATGTAATGATGGTAGAACAGCAAATTTCCCCTGAAATTTTGCAGTACCCGTATGTGTCCTTTATTACGGTTGGTATTATTCTTTTATACTTCCAGAGAACAATCACATGACAACTAGTGCATAAACTAAAATACACAACTTTGTGGTCACAGTGGAATATTTCAGTAAATGCATGTATAACCTCTGCACAAGATAAAAAGTTGTGAGAGCATTCAAACAGAAATGCTCTCTCAAGACTCTATACCTATAGTTCCATAGGTGTTTAGAAATATTCTGAAGCTTGAATTCTCGGTGATATTAAGATCTATCTACCGATTCTACCACTGCGTTGGTCCACTGATTACAGGGTTGACAACAACAAGAATATTATATAAACATTCATTCATCATGAGATAACTATGTGTCAAAGTTTCTCATCATTGTATACTACTGAACCATGCAAGCAATCCAAGTTTTCTTTAAAAGAAAAAACAAAGTACATGTATAAGACATACATGTATGAAGTGAAGATGAAAATATATACCGAAGGTACATGAAAAGAATGAGGATAAAACTCAATGAAGTTCTCTATAATCAAAGTTATTAAATAAATAATGGTTTATTCTTGCAATACAAAACATGTTTTGCACATATGTGCACATGAATAGCTGGATCATGCATGTTTACACGTAATGTTGACATACAAAATAACATTTTTAAATGTTAAAAGAACATGCTTTTTTGGTAAACATGTTCTTATCTATTATTTTCATATACATATTTGTCATATTTAATTCATAGATAAAGGTCTAAATGACATTCTCAGGTAGGAGTTTATTTGGTAAAAAGAATATTATATTGCACAGAGATCTGCTTGAGAATAAATTGTAATTGCACTATTTAATATTAAGATTGTCATAAAAGTGTAAACAGTGTACATAAATATATGCAACTTGCTTGAATCGTATATTTAAAACAGAAGCGCACACATACTACAGAACAAAATAAACAAAAACAAAGCAAGCAATTATGACATTTCATACCTTTTAATATTCAAGAAGGAATTTACTCCAACACAACGTGCAATCCAATCCAACACTCAATTTGATCAAGAGTATATATTTCAAATCATTATCTTGTCTTTTGTGAACTAGAACATTAACTCTAGATACAAAAGTAGAGTTAACACCTTTCTGGCTCAGGAGACAATCAAAAGGGCAAGCATAGTGTATAAACAGAAAATTAAAACAAATCAAAATATACATACCTTTATCCTTTGGCACTGAAATGAACCTGTTGATAACAGACTCCTTCTCTATGATATAATCTGGTCAATTGAACAGTCAAGGAGTATATTGAAATTGTTGAGATAAATTCATGTGTAGCACATTATAAATTGAAAAACAAAATTAACATGTAAATATATCCAGAACAAAAATACACAGGGGCTCGGGGTGAATTAGCCCCCGAAATGCCCAAAAGAGCCCCCGAAAGTCATTAGAGAGCCCAAATAATTTTGCATAGAGTTCAATGCAAAACAATTGAAGATTGTAATTTTAATGCAAGCAAGCTTGAAAAGTAGCCCCCAAAATTTGTTTAAAATTTGTTCCCCTGTATCACTTTTATCTTCATAGTACTTCATTAAATTTGTCCAACAGACCTACACTACAGCCTAAAGGTCTTAAGTTCTATTGGTATTCATGGGTATTACAGCAACAACCTCCTACATGTATAACCCTTAGCTAAACTAACCCCAACAAACCTTCTACATGACACAAGACCCATGAGAATTAAAAACTTTGATCAACTTATCGGTCTTCTGACTCATTCCCTAAATTCAATTGTCAGATTAAAGATAAAGTTGAGTTCTGGCGATGCCATTGCATCGTGCAGACTCATACTTCTCCCTTGAATAAGGAACACCAGTGGTTACCTCTACACTACAGTTTTGCATTCTGCTTTAGGTCTGCTAGTATGTTTTCAAAGTTCTAAATCTATGGCAACTAAATATCTTAATGACACCCTAAAAATACAAACAACAGCTCATAATCTTTGCTCCAGAATGTAAACTTATTATTCCCAAATCCAGACTCTCATCCACCAAATAGCGTTTTATACAGTGGCTGCTTTGAAAACATGGAACAATTAATATCCCACCTTCGATTATAGAATTAGACTGTCTCGCCTCTTTCAAAAGATCTCTTAAAACTTACTTCTTCCCTCAGTAACTTAATGCAATTTACCTATGTTTATAAGTCTACCGGTATGTTTAATAATAATAATAGTGGGTTCTTGAATAACGCTCATGTCTGTCAGACTTGACACTCCTGGCACTCCCGATTATTACCCTGGCTTTAGCACGGCTGCCAATACGGCGCTCTAGCATTTCAAGGAATTAATTCCTGCCAGGTACCCATTTACATCACCTGGGTTGAGAGTGGCAAATGGAGATCAATGTTTTGCCAAAGGACATTACTACTGCGGCTGGAATCGAACCGCGGACCTTGTGATCCACAGTCCGGTGACATATCCACTCGACCATGACACCTCTATCATGTTTCTCCTTCATGCTCTATAATCTTGTAAGTGATATGACACTCTTTGTTTTTAGAGCTCCTTAATGATCAATAATATTATTATGATTATTATTATTAAAGAAACTGTCTAAAAGAAATAGGAAAAAGGTTTATCACGTAGCACATAAGTATTGGTGAATATATACTGTGAGGTTTTGGAATCATCAAAATGATAAGAAATTGGTCCACTCTTAAACATTTACCTGTACATGCACTGTTGTGACTGTACACATAGTTTTGTATACAGGACTACAAGAACGTGAAAATGTGGTCCATAACCTTTAGCTGCTACTTGTCATATTCAGAACATGAGAGCATTTGAAGAGCCATCCTTTTCATTGGATCCTTCTTTCTATAATGCCTACTTGTTCACTTTTTACAAATTATGAAAATCACTTCATACACTGTAACTATGAAAAAAGGTCAGTGGAACTTAGTGTAGACATCATGAAAAAATCACACTAAGATGCTGCCAGATGATCCAGACATTTTTCAAAGTAATGATCATCTAATTAATGATTTTACCTCTGTATCAGAATGGTGATCAGTTCTTGGGAATAATTTAATCAGAATAGTGGTTATTATTTCTTCTTAAGAACCAAATCAGGAGGCGGCCTCCAATAAATACTTCAGATGTTGAGATCCTGATCACAAATAGAATTATGACTATGCAAAATTAATGAGTTCAAATACAAACTAATGAAGTCATGAACTTCTTTAACAAGTTTTCAATGGATCAGAAGGTTGCAGCAACCATTCTTGTAATGATTTTGCCATTCTGTCAGTGTCACAAGTGTAAATAATTAAACAAAAGATTGTGCTTTAACAAGTCATATAATCATTATCACTAAACATTCCTGACAAGCTTTAACTTATTTCTCAGCTTACCCACTCTGTACTTCCTAATCATGTACGCTTTCAAACCACACTGATCATTCTCAGAAGAACTATAAAGATGGGCCCTCATAAAATATTTTAAAAACACTTGGCAAGAGATGCAATATATACTGATACTGTGTAGATGAAGCTACAGTACATGTACTACTATGGACATGGATCATTGATTGTATCTTGTCTCATTGTTTCGAACAACACTTTTACAAATATATGGATAACAAATTCTCTCTTGATTAGTGATATCAAATAACATCTATTCAAATGAACCTCTTCAAGAGTTCCATGTCTAATATATATTCATTTGCGCCCTTAAAATGTTTCTTATCAAGATTTTCTCTCACTGTTGAATGTATGGATATTTGCTACCATCATATGTCGTTTACTTTTCGTTACCAACTGTCAGACATCCCAGCATGTGAAGTAAAACTGTCACAATTCCAAAATCTATTTAATTCTAATATGAAACATTCACAGCTACATGTTACGTTAAGATTAGCACATGGGAATCTACTGCTCGAGACTCCTTTTCATACCAAAACACATAAAGATCATCTGATGATTATCTTCTACATTTGGCTATTACATTGGCTACTCATCACCTATGGTCTAAAGTAATCTTGACTTAGTCTTGAAATTATGCCAATTTGCAAGAAAACAGTCTTAAAAATCTTCACCACAATGACAAGGTGCATGGTTTCTTTTTTATAAAGACATCGAAACAAACATGCTTGATAGGCATTGAGTAGACATGTTTGATAAACACTTTCTAATTCCATTTCAAGGAAACTGCTTAAATCTCTCTTATGATTTACCCAGTAAAAAAGAAAGAGCTATAGCGCAAGGTAAACTGGATAATTAGAGCATTAAACCAAGAATATTCATGATTGGATTAATGATCTCTGTGAAATCTAATGTGATCAATGGTTCCCTGAATCTGCTTGCATTGTATGTGAAAAGGTTGATTGAGTCATACTTGGGGGATGACACCACTTGACCAGTTACTCAGAAAAAGTGCTCTAAAAGTTGGCAGGTTTTACCGGAAGTATTGAATTCCCCAATTAGTAACGGAAAGCCAAGTAGACATTAATCTCCTGTTTGGACAATCATAATGAAGATGGTCAAGTAACAAGGATAAACATCATGTCAATGTCATCTAAAAATGGACATGAACCACTTAATGTATGGTCACACATCAAAATGTGGTGCACTTTTCACATGCTCAAACAAAGCCCTACTAAATATTTGAGAGGCGACTTCTGTTATAGATAAAACATCACTTCAGCCAAGAAAATGCAGCATCCTTTAATTATCTGATCACACTTTGTAGGTAGTGTGGGCTTCAAGCGTGGGACTGTGGGCTAGACTGTGGGGGTAGACCACACTATCTCCCACACATCTCCCCAAAGTAATATGCTCAAATGGTACTCAAGAGTCAAGCTCCTTGGAAAACCATTCACACCCATTTAGACATATATGCAGCACCCCCCCCCTACCCCCTCTCCTCCACCTCTACCCCTTAACAAATATTGCTGTGGGTTTTTTTGTTCCAATGCTTAAAAAAATAAGGGGAAATGGCCCTTTTAGACCTTTTAGACAGTTTATTGCATGCCTAAACAAGGTTTTACAGTGTGAACCGACTTAACTTCATACTGAAAGTAAAGTCTGGTTGATCTTCCATCTTCTATGGCTTGGAGTCAGAGATCATCCAAGATTTCATTGAGGTGACTCAGGTTTCCATGGAAAAAACCTTGTTATCTAATTGATTGGAAGCTACACTGCCAAGCCATAACCTTGCTATGGGATATACTGTACAGTGTACACTTCACGTTGATACCAGTCAATGCTGAGCCAAAGTATGATGAAAGGCGAATCTTTTAAAATCTGGGCACTGTTTCACAATTACAGTTTTCACTTCATTTTGTTTAAATTGCTCACAGCCAATCAAATACAGTGACTTCAATAAATTTAAAACTTTTGTAATTTGTTTTGATAACAAGTCTTCTAAAATAGGGTCCTGAACTTGATTTCTTAAAAGAACAGGCCCCATTCAAAAAAAGATTAGCATTATTCCAAACTAAATCTTGGACATGGTATTACAGAAAATGTTATATTGTTCATACCGGTAATTCTTTTTTTTAATAAGAACATTTTTTTAAACAGCTATCCGGTACATGTATGTGGAACTTTAAAGATTTGGGTACATGTACATGTGTAACAATCCAGCAGAACAAATTAAATGTATAAAGTGTATGAAATTGCAGACTTGCTCAATAAAGTGATTGTCAGACCAGAAGTGTTTTCGGAAGCTATTTCAATTCCTTGAATACAAAAATACTAAAATCCCCTGAGGGGCCCCATCTCAGACTGTGCTAGTCCATTCCACTAGCCAAGTCTTCATTATCTTACCCGTACAATGTATAGCAACCACAGGTCATTAGTGGGAACAGTCAAGTGCCTCTTGACATTTCAAGAACTAGATGGAACTTCGACTGCGCGCAGTCGAAAATGATGCCTCCGTCATAGAGCAATTTTACAAACCAAAACAGAAGAAATTTTTCGAATTCAAGTTCAATTGTAATCCATTAACAGGTTCTCAGAATATTGTGATTACAAGGTATTTTTGCATACATAATGAGCCCATGACCTTTGACCTTATGAACCAAAAATCTACTCAGTTCATTGGCTCTGCAAGAAACATACATGACCTAAGTTGGCAGGAATCCATCAATCGGTTCTTGAGATAACGCGATCACGAGCTGTTTTTGCATACATAATGTGCCCTGTGGCCTTTGACCTTTGACCTTGTGACCCCTACATCTAATCAGTTCATCGGCTCTGCAAGTAACATACATGACCTAAGTTTGGCAGCAATCCATCAATCGGTTCTTCAGATAACGCGATCACAAGCTCGTTTTGCATATATAATGAGCCCTGTGGCCTTTGATCTTTGACCTCGTGACCTCAAAATCTAATCAGTTTTTCGGCTTTGCAAGTAACATACATGACCTAAGTTTGGCAGCAATCCATCAATCGGTTCTTCAGATAACGCGATCACGAGCTCGTTTTGCATACATAATGAGCCCTGTGACCTTTGACCTTTGACCTCGTGACCCCAAAATCTAATCAGTTCATCGGCTCTACAAGATACATACATGACCAAAGTTTGGCAGGAATCCATCAACCAGTTCTTCAGATAACGCGATCACGAGCTCGTTTTGCATACATAATGAGCCCTGTGACCTTCGACCTTTGACCTCGTGACCCCAAAATCTAATTAGTTCATCAGCTCTACAAGATACATACATGACCAAAGTTTGGCAGGAATCCATCAACCAGTTCTTCAGATAACGCGATCACGAGCTTGTTTTGCATACATAATGAGCCCTGTGACCTTTGACCTTTGACCTCGTAACCCCAAAATCTAATCAGTTCATCGGCTCTACAAGATACGTACATGACCAAAGTTTGGCAGGAATCCATCAACCAGTTCTTCAGATAACGCGATCACGAGAACGGGACGTACGTACGTACAGACGTACGTACGTACGTACGTACGGACGTACGGACGGACGGACAACCCGAAAACATAATGCCTCCGGCTACTTCGTAACGGAGGCATAAAAATAGAGCCTCCTTTTATCATTCAAGGCACTTCATTCTAGCTCTACATCTTTGAATGCTTGCTTTATACTCTCATGACTTATGATCTGTTAAAGGCATCATTTAACAATGTTAAATCTGAGATGCACGGCCCTACATGTTATAGGTGTCTGTGATATTGAAGCCCTAAAAAAATTGCGCTTCAAATTGATCAAGAAGTGCCTCAAAAAAGTACAAAATCTTTGAGTTTTCAGTTTTACCAAACTTGTTTTCCCCAATAGACTGTAGTGTTATGAAAACCGTAAGGAAAACGCAAAATTTGGTTTCGATTTTCGATCATAAATATCTTGATAAACAGACAGGCGATCGGCTTGTAAAACTAAAAGTCATGGGGTTCCTGACTGACCAAAAGGTTTATAATTATGATTGCAGCATGAGCTTAATCCAGGATTTTGTTTCAGAATCTGAGACAAAGTTACCGGATCCCTTTAACATCATGTCAGGAATCGTCCCCACCACCAATCCCCACATCCTTTTCCTTTTGTCCTTTGCCCCTTTGAAACTTATCAAATTTTTCTTTCAAACTGGACAGTCGTAAATTGTTCACATTTAGGACCAAATCATTATCCAGAAAAAGAGAGGTACATAAATCTACTCTGACGAATACAATGAACCAAAATAAATCAAGTCAAATCACATTCTCACAGGTACAAGTACATGTACACTGTATACTGTAGTCCCATTTACTAATTTATTTGTTAGTGTTGATTTTGTTGTTGTTGTTTCTTTTTATTGTCTTCATTAAAAGTCATTCCTGTGTATTGGAGTATGAGAGCTTTGCACGAAGTCACATCATGGAGTTAGGACCAAATCATCATCCAGAAAAATTAAACATAAATGACTCTACTGACAAATACAATGAACCAAATAAATCACATTCTTACAGGTTCAAATACGTGTATACTGTAGTCCCATATACCAGTTACTTTGTTGTTTCTTCTTTTTATTGTCTTCATTAAAAGCCATTCCCATGTACATGTACCAGAGTAGGAGAGCTTTGCACAAAGTCACATTAAATAACTTTCAATCAATTTATCCAACTTTCAAACCATCATTCTCTCTCTCAAGTCTACATCATGCAAGCACAACAGTATTTTAAAAAGACAAATTGAGCAAGTCCAAGGTATACTATTGCTTTTTTAGTGCAATATCTTGCCAACAATAATGACAATGCAGAAGATCAACCATGAAAGTATCAATTCCTTAATGGTGTTTGGTCTGATACAAGAACCAGTAAAGCCAAGTTGATAAAATCTTCAGATAAACTGTTCACATAACATCTTTGATACAAGGTGACAAATATACCTTGGACTGGCCGAACTAAAGTGTATGCAGAATTATGCAGAATTATGCAGAATTATGCAGAATTAAAATACATCTAAAGGATACAAGTTCTTTCATCATCATTTGCATGTTCCAATTTATCTGCCTCTTTTCCAAAGAGAACCTGTAATGAAGAAAAAATGTTGGGAATATTCATCCTAAATGGCCCACCGGTGAAAGGAGCTGAAATACATACTACATCTAACATACTGTTCATGTTCAAAATTGTATACACAGTGGCCCAAATTCACAAAGGAGGTTTGTCGACAAACCTAGGTTTGTGTGCGTCACATGACGCGTTTCAATGCGTTTCAGACCAAGGTTCAGACAAACCTTGGTCTAAAACATAAACCTAGGTTTGTCTACTACAACCTTTGTGAATTCAGGCCATGAAGTTCAACAATGCAATCTGAATTTTGATTTTGATATTACAATATATTGAGATCCATAACTAGCACCTTTAAATGAAGTAAACTCCTCATACACAGTGCTTAAAGATAGCATTAGATAGGCCTACTTTATTCAGAACCTATTACCCATTTTTAATCTACATGTAGTCTAATACTTGCCCAATAAAGTATGATACATTATTACTTTGCCACTTTCAGAATTTCAAAGAGATAAAATGAAGAGAGTTAGATGCAAGCTACACATTTATGGCTGCAAAATGAGCTTACAAAAAAATAATAATCACTAGGTAAATACACCTTATGGATCTCGTACTACTTCATTATTTTATATCTTTACATTCTCTTCTGCAAACACTGATCAATAAACACTACTTCTGGGTGTCCTTACCTTCCAAACATTAGATTTGATAAAGAGCAAGATGTTGAGCAGTTTGGTTTCCCTTTTCAATCCTCTCTCTCGGATGAAAAGCAAGTCCAGAATTCGAACTCCTACGTGCTGCCCCAAATCAGACAACCTGTTACATGTATTGGAAGAGAAGAGGATCAAATCATGAAGGTATTTTCAAGTACAGAAGTGTTTTCTTTTAAAGAGCATCATAGATTTCCTGTGTGGGTTGTGTATGTGTGTGTGTTTGTTTGTGTGTGTGTGTGAGGGTTTTATTTATGTTTTTTCTGAGCTAGCTCCAACTTATATTTTCTACATAGTATGCACCTTCATGATAAGGGATAAGGAGTGTTACTGCTGTTGCACCTTTGAAAATTAACAAGTGTGTTAATCCTAATAGTACTACAAGTCCATAAGGGAAGTACCTTAGCCATCTGGACTCTTTATCAATTCATGAGGTGTTTCGATAGCCCTTGGATTTGATGAAAAATTATACATCAAGAAGCACTACATGTAAATAAGATTATACATTCACCATTGTTTCTTTCAACAGATTCATCAAAACTCATACAAATTCAGATATTTTCTGTTCAAAATGAATCAAAACATGGATAGCCAACCTGTTTGGAAAACAATGTATGGGTTAACATCTTATTGCCGAATAACATTTCAATCTGAGGAGTCATACATGTATGGGCAAGTGTTTTAAAAGTCCTGCTGCCAAACCACACTTCCCTATTTTAAGATTGTAGATTTTGATCATGATTTACAATGCAATTAACAAACATGCTCCATACAAACTTATGCTATCTTTGATAATGTACTGTATGTACATTTTTTCCATTTGCCCCCCTTGCTATGGTCTTTAGGCAGTAGGCTACTGCATGTAAATTGTATGATAGCATAATAGATGGTTACTCACTTGCTCTGTAGTTCTGGCACCGACGAAACTCTGTTCTGACAGTATTGAACCATTTCAGAGAATAGCAAGGCAAAGGTGCTAATGTTAATCTGTGGGAAAGATTGAAACAAGCAAAACATGGACTAACTGTCAGATAAGCCTTGTGCAACACCAGTGAACCAATAAAGTCTACTACTACTACTACTATGTACATGTACTAACTACTATTACCACAGCAAATTTTGAAATATGAACTATATAATATAAAATATAATAATAATAAATACTTATAAAGCGCACTTATCTATTACTCAAGGCGATATACAAAACAAAATACACAAATCTCTCTCCAGAATTTTAATAACATAATATCATTGATAACTCTGAGAAAATTAAACCGTTTGAAGTAGCCTAGAGTATTGGAGGTATGGCTCCACCGCTTCACACCAACTTTCTTTTGAGAAGGTCTGGATCAAACCAAATTCAACATGTCCACTTTTCACTCTTGAATTACGATTAACACAAAATAACATCAAATTTACACTGTAGGGGTTGAATAATTTAGTTGTTAACTATCAAACAGATGACTACAGGACCATGTGCACCTTGCTGGTTAGCAAGAACACAAATCAGTGATCAATGTGGGGAAGGGACCACTACACAGTACTATGCAGAGTGAATGAGTTGTAGCAAAAGAAAAATTTGAAACTTATACAAGGTGCACTCATGAGTAACCTACCGATACCCATAAATTAAAAAACAAAGTAGCAAAAATCCCATATTTTCCATTACAAAAAACTTGACATTTGCCTCAAAATATGATAACTAACGCAAAGTTTAGGTGCAGCCTGCGCGCAAACATAGACGATAGCCCCTGAAAACCCTGAATAAAGGGTTACAAACAAAACCCATATAATTATGTACATAATCCCATCCATATGCACAGGACTACATAATGTGTGTGCATTCTATACAGATCCAATTACAGTATCATTTTAATATTTGGAGACATCACTTAAAGTGAGATCCAGCCTCAATAGAAAACTACTCTAAAAGAAAGAAAACCAATCAGATAAGCAGACTCGTGAAGTTTAAACGAAATCAGACAAAAGATGACAAATCTATGATTGTTTAAAGGTCGTAATCTAATACGTATGAGCACTTCAAACTGGTTGAATTGACAGTGTCACTATCGTGAAGTGCCTGACAACTTTCCTATTTGTTCCAATACACAAAATGACAAGTTTTGAATAGGGCCCCAATGGAGAAGGCCCTTTGGATAAATACAGAAATTTATGATATATTTGTACACCAAATATGTGACACAACCTCTGCAATATTCTAGCGCCTCTGTATTTAGGTATGTGACTAAAAAAATAAAAATTGTGGGATTACATTGTATCTTATATCATTGGAAAGGGCTTGAAAAACCATTTAAAATGGTATATAAACCATAGCTCTAGGACAAATATTTAGCGAGTTATGATTTTTTTAAGATTAAAAATCTGATTTAATTATCGCCATTGTTTTACCATTGAGACCTCTCAAAATCTGTGACCGACCATGACCAATATAAAGGATGGTCTTATCAAAAATGTAAAAATTATTCATTTTTCTAGATAAAACCTTAAGGAAAGAACATGTGATAGGGGAAGAAAACCAATATTGTATTATTTGATGTACTATAGACCCTTCTATAATTAATTAGTAATTAGCAATTAGCAAATTAATTAGCTAATTAGTCGTTAATGAACTCACTGCCACAAAAAGACAGACGAATTTCCGTAATTTCCTGACAATCAATTTTGAGGAAGTAAAAAAACAATGATCGTATGTTCCGATTTGATTTATATTCATCAAGTAACGAGAAAAATGTATAAATAAACGAATTAAATTAGTTTTAGAACTAGAGTAAAGGAGCCGGTAATCGGCCAGCTCCCGTTTTCGGCCGATTGGTTGGATGCAAGGTAAAATCACTCTAAAATACATCGCATAATAGCATAACACATATCCCGCACATACCATACCATGCCAGTGTCACTGAAGAACCACATTTGCAATGGAAAATATATCCTAAAATATCACATTTTAGCGATGTAATCGCCGGTCCCGCTACCCAAATCTGAAAAATCGAGTATCTTACGCGTGTCTGTAAGAAATATGGGTACCATAAAATGAGCTTTATTTCAAGTATTTTTCAGATTTAGAGCCCGATTTTGTGCTAGTCGCAAGCTCAAAAGTATCTCATAGCATGTATTAAATCAATGCAGCCGCACACCGCGACGCACACACGATATCTCTGTCTAATTCAGATTCCAACTTCCGATCACCGCTGTGCCTGTCTTCGGCCAGGCGAGCACCAGGGAGCTCCGGCGTGGGATACCTGCTCCACCCGCTTGTGCTGTACATCAGCGCGGAAACGCACGGCGCGCGCGAGCGCTTCCTATTGACTTTGTACATGCGGCCGTAAACTGAAACGCTCGGCCGATAACGGGCTCCAAAACAGTTAAAATTGAAATGAATATTGTCATGGCAATTCGTGATTTTTTTCTGGGATTCTTTTTTTGTTTAAATAATAATAATATTTGCTTCATTATTTGAACAAGCAATGATAATAAATAGGAAGTAAAGAGTCCTAAAAATAGGATTTTGTCTTAAGTGGCCGAAAACGGGCTCCTTTACTCAATTAAAACTTATCTTCAGGGAAGATTACGATGGTAAAGATGACAATGAACTTTGACTTGAACAAAAATGCACTTTCACATGTCCGTTTCTGAAAATTCGAAGTCGAGGCGAAAGGAAATTTTTCCAATGACGTCATCAGACAAGCAAGCCTTCTTCTTCACCTCCTCCTGCTCCAACTTCTTCCTCTTCTTCTTCTTCTTGAACTTTTTCCTGTTCTTTGTCGTCTTCTTCTTCTTGTTCTTTGTCTTCTTCATGCATGTCAACAGTCATGACAGTTTCAACAAACTCCCCGATTTGCAACTCTACTAAAATCACATCATGGGCATGGGCGCGGCGTGGCCAATGAATTAGAAAACAAGCTCTCTTGTCTTGAATTCTTGTCAAATTATTTTAGTTTTGATGAATGCAAACAGAATTTATAGCTGTGCTTGGGCTTGGCCTCTATCCACAGACTGAGAGTGAGATCGCCATGGAGGACAGATGCAAAGGACAGTCACAAGCATGACTCATTATAGTCGAATAGACATACCGACTGCCGAGGCCGAGGCCAGCGCCAGGGGAGAAAATAGATTGATGCTCCACCCACTAAGATCATAGACGTTAGACGTTTGGGGAAATACAGCAGGGAAACGGCCGCTGGCAAACCACGCCCCCTTAGAGTTAGCACCGAAACAGTTAAAGAAAGGGACTCGATCATAAAATCAGCTCCGCGACTAAAACAATTTGTTAACACAAAGAGAGTTGTTATTCGTAGAGACTTAACCCCGATCCAAAGAGAGGAAGAAAAAAACTTATACATGGAATTGCAGGAAAAAAAGGGAGAGTCAGCCCGTCAAGGGGATATGAATGCACAGTGGGTGAGAAGGAGGGGAAGGGTGACCAACATCGGGACATATATAGAAGCAGCACAAGCAAAGAGAATGGAAACAAATGTGAGAAGAAAGACAAACAAAACACCCGTAGAACAAGTAAAAGACCTGGAGAGCCGCGAAGACTTCCCAGAAATCAACCAGTAGGTTGTAAACTTAATAAACTCAAGTGCATTTATGCAAATGTAGATTCATTATTGAATAAAAGAGATGAATTTAAATCAATCATTACTTTGTATAAACCACAAATAATTGGCATTACAGAAGTTAAGCCAAAGAATTTACGTTACAATGTTGAAGTAGCTGAAGTGAAGCTAGATGGTTTCGATATTTTTCATAATCTCCACGAAAATGGCCGTGGGATTTGTTTGTATATATGTAAGAGCCTCAAAGCAGAGGCCTATACATGTTTTTCTGTTAGTAGCTTCAAAGAAGCAATTTTTGCCACAGTTGATTTTCAGGAAGGTGGTAAACTCCTTGTAGGTCTTTTTTATAGAAGTCCAAATGCAGATAACCGTGTAAATGATGGGTTGTGTGCACTTTTCCAAGAAGTGGGTCAGAGTACCTTTCAGGATGTTTTGTTAATTGGGGATTTTAATTTTCCAGACATAGACTGGGGATTAGAATCTTGTACAAAGGGTGTAGAGCATCCAGCTCATAAATTTATTGAGAGCACTAAAGATGCTTTCCTAGTACAGCACCAAGTTCAGCCTACACGGCACCGTAGTGGCCAATGTTCCAATGTCCTAGACTTGGTTTTCACAGCTAATGAACATGCTATTGCAGATATTACGACCTCTGCCAGTCTTGGCAGAAGTGATCATTATACATTGATTTTTGACATGAAAATAAGAGGCCAAGGCGCCAAAACTGGAGAAACAAGATACATCTATGATAAAGCAGACTATGATACTATGTATGATAAGATTATGGAAATTGATTGGAATAATGAATTTCGGGATATGTCCATGGAAAAATCATGGTCTTTCTTCAAAACTACACTGTTAGACATCTGTAATCGTTATACACCAAAGAAAACACTAAACGTAGGTCAGAGGAAAAAACATTGGATGAACAGAGAGACTCTGGAAGTGGTTAGAGAAAAACATAGACATTTCAGAAAGTGGCAAGAGATGAGAAGCGAAAAAAATCGGGAAAAGTATTCTAGTGCAGAAATTGAACAGCAAAGACGTTGTTATAGTAGATCCAGCAACCACGCAAGGTGGCAGTGTAGGAAGGCGGTGAGTTCATATGAGAAATATATAGCCTCAGGAGTTAAGAAGAATGCAAGAGCCTTCTGGTCATATGTAAACTCAAAAATAACAACTCGGGAAAGTGTCTGTAATTTAACCAAACCTGATGGGAGTAAAACGGAAACGGATCAGGAAAAGGCTGAGGTTTTGCAAGATTTCTTCTCTTCAGTTTTCACCCAGGAAGATTTACAAGATATCCCTCTCCCTTTAGATGTTGAATTTGACACTCCACTAGACGACATACAGATTACGTCAGGAGATGTGTATGAACTACTGCGTAGACTTAAGCCTAATAAATCTCCGGGGCCTGACAAAATACATCCCCGTCTACTAAAAGAACTAGCAGATGTGTTAGCTCTACCGATTTCTTTGCTGTTCCAAAAGAGTCTTGAAAGTAAACAGTTGCCCCAGGACTGGAAATCTGCAAATGTTACCCCGATTTTCAAGAAAGGTAACAAAAGTGATAGTAAAAATTATAGGCCAGTTAGTCTAACAAGCATTATTTGTAAAATGATGGAGAATCTTGTGCGTAAGCAATTGCTTGACCATCTTATGACGAATGATTTGATTTCAGTTCACCAGCATGGGTTCGTAGTTGGTCGTTCTTGCATCACCAATCTTTTAGAGGTGTTGGACCAGTGGACACAGATTTTGGATGATGGAGGCACAGTAGATGCCATATATTTGGACTTCATGAAGGCGTTCGATACGGTGCCTCACCACCGGCTGCTTCTCAAATTAGAATCGTATGGAGTTCGTGGGAATGTACTTGCATGGTTAGAGTCTTTTCTGAGTGGACGGCAGCAAAGAGTAGTGGTCAGAGGCAAGCAGTCTAAGTGGGGCAAAGTCCTGAGTGGAGTGCCGCAGGGCAGTGTGTTGGGTCCATGTTTATTTTTGCTATTTGTCAATGACCTTCCAAAAGTTGTCAGCTCAAATATTTCAATGTTTGCAGATGACACTAAGTTGTATGTCCGTGCTGATACTGCAGATTTAAGAAAGCAACTTCAAGAGGATCTGTCACGGATGGAAGAATGGGCTGAGAAATGGCAGCTTTGCTTTCATCCTGATAAGTGTACTGTTTTAAGGCTTGGGAAGTTACCGGCAGAAGCCTCTACAGACTATTGTATGAAAAAGGGGACAGACTCTGTAACACTATCTGTTACAAACGTAGAAAAGGACCTAGGTGTCCTAGTAGATTCACAACTATCATTTAAAGATCACGTTTCCCAAACAGTTCTCAAAGCGAATCGAGTACTTGGAGTTATCCGTAGGACATTTATGTACCTAAATACTGATACTATGCCGTTTTTGTTTAAAGGCCTCGTTAGGCCCATTTTAGAATATGGACAAACCGCATGGTCCCCATACAGATTAGGAGAACAGAGGATGTTGGAAAGCGTACAAAGACGTGCAACAAAGATTATTCCTGGCCTTAGAAATTTAACATACCAGGAGCGCTTGACCAAACTCAAACTACCAACTCTTGTTCACAGGCGTAAAAGGGGGGACATGATCGATGTGTATAAGTACGTGAATGGCTTGTACACTGTGCAAGAGATGCCCTTTAAGATGAGTACAGAAGATAGAACTCGAGGTCACTCTAGAAAACTTGAAAAGAAATATTCAAGGCTAGATATAAGAAAATACTTTTTTAGCAATAGAGTCGTGGAACTGTGGAACGGTCTCCCAGAAAACGTTGTGGCAGCTGGGTCGGTAAACTCTTTTAAGAATAGACTTGATAGTCACTGGTCAAAGAGTGTACCGGTAAGCCTGCTGTATGAGCCGGTCTAGGTGTTGTCTATTGTCTCATGTTATCACACAACCTCCTCCCTCCATAAATAGCAGTAATCACGGAAGAATCCTGGATCGATGAACAGGCTTAGACCTACAACATCGTGTATTAAAGTAAAGTAAAGTAAAGTAGACCTAGATTTAGTCTAGGCCTACGTGCAAGTTAATCCAATAGTATACAGCACACACACATACATCCTGGTATGTGGGACTTGACATTGTAAACGCCACGCAAAATAACCTATGTAATGCACTCTAGAAAGTAAAATGTTACTAAATTAGATAATAATAAGGGTCTAAAACGAACCTCGCCTTTCCCTTTGCTCAAGGGCCGGTCTACTAAGCCTGTCTTCTGCAATTTTCGGTCAGCCATTCTGTCGGGTTACCAAAAGATTGACGATACTCAAACGATACCACGTCCTGGATATCGCGATATAAAAGACATTCACTTTTGAGGGATGTACAATTTTCTTTATATTTTTATATGTTATGTAAATCAATGAAGCTGTATGTTTGTTTTTTTTGTACTAAATGAATACAATAAAAATGCTACATAAATAAAAAAAATCCTCAAGTTTTTAAGAAAACAACTACAACAACAATTAACAAGCAAACAACAACAAATAATAATTTCTTCTCTGAACACACGTTTTTAATGTAAAATTTATATGTCTTGCCATGAAAAATATTTCTTATGCTTTCAATCAAATTGATGAACTTATATGGGCAAATGAATGGATGAGCACTAGTAGTAGGTAAATCAAATTACCACAAAATGGCTGAAAATCATTGTAAATGCAGGCAATAATGTCATCAAGCTGGATCGAGAGGGGAAAATATGGAACAAACACCAAGCGAGGATCGAGCCCAGGATCTCTCAAGAGCCTTCGACATAATAGTAGTAAGAACTAAGAAGTGAGGAGATAAAAGTCCACTTATAGTAAGCCTGAAACACCAGTGCTAGCTCTCTCTCTCTCTCTTTCTTGTCTCTACCTTTCTTTCCCTCTCTCTCTCTCTCTCTCTTTCTCTCTCGCTATCTCTCTCCCTCTCCCTGCTTATAATATAATTTATATTATGATTTTGTTTATCTGTCAATCATTCGAATCGCTTTTCTACATAATTTTGTCTTATTTTTTAAAAATGAAGACGCATATTTCTGCCTTCACTGCTGACGGTTTCTGCACGTGTGTCTTCAATCAGTCGTGTCCCACTGATACAGGCGCGTATGCAGGATTTCTTCAAAGGGGGGGGGGGGGGGGGGGGGGTTAACAATTTCAAATCGGGCCGAAAATTTCGCAACGCCTCAGCCTGCCGCTGAATAAGTGGGGGAGGAGGGGGGGGGGGAAGGGGGGGGGGGGGGGTAAGAGGACATATTTGTTTTGTTTTGTTTTGGTCCCGAAATTTGAACATTTGACCGATCAACATTTTGTGCCGTTTGGGGAAGGGGGTAAGGTCATCTTTTTTAAGTCACCGATAAGCATTAAAAAAAACGAGGGGGGGGGGTTCCTCCCAAACACACAGTGCAAACACACACATTAAAAAAATGACCCCCCCCCCCCCCTTGCGTCCGCACCTGATAGCACGTATGTGACTAGCTTCTTTGAGAAGATTAATTTCACCGAGACATCAACGAAAAAAGTGTAATTTTTTTTTCTCGAATATTTGTACATGACAACAAAAGAGTCTGTATTCGGATAGTTTTGTTTGACGTTTGCATACGTCATTTGGGTCAGAGACATTGTCATTGTATGGATTTGGATTAATTGGAAATGCGCTTCATTTTCTATCGGATATGACGAGACAATGCACAAAAGTCATAATGGATACAGAAGTAAGTACCTTATAAATGTAAAGGAGGATATACCTGACAAATTAAATGAAATACATAGAACGAGACAGAACGATTGTTCAGCAGCCAGGCAACAATGACGTCATGAATCCTTTTCACCGAATCATTATAAATTAAAGTCGATTATTTGAGAGTGAAAAGTTTCAGCAATTTCTAGACAATTATTTGGGCTAAAGGATGAAATCTCCGCCCCAGGCAGAGAAGCTCCTGCGAGGAAAGAAGAAACTGAAAACTACTAGAGAAGAGGGAACAAATAGGAGGGGAGAATGAGAGAAACGTGGATATGAAAAGGAATATACCCGGGGATTACCATCAACAAAGCATCAATTCATAAATAAAACATTGAGTGCAATGATATCAGTCAGGTTTCCTCTTTTTCCAAAAGAAATGAGAAACAAGCAGATCTTTATTTTAGTGTTATCAATATATTTTATTATATATCGAGCGTTTGTCATTATTATACAAAAGTCTACTACTTGTTTGGAGGAGTCACAAGAATAAATGATACGCATCATAATAGATATAGGACTACTATCACATTGTAACGTAACAGTAATCGATTTTGTATTTTTTTTTCCTTTTAAATATTAGATCGAAATATGTGACTATTTCGTTTGAACGGTGTATTCAAAATTCAAACGCAATGGTCTATATAAATGGGGGGGGGGTGGGGGGTGGGGGTCATATTAATACACTGGATAAAACGTTTCTTTTTAGGTCTCGTCAAAACGCTATTCTGGAAAGAAAATATGATGATTAAAAATAGACGTTATATTCCCGAATAAATTTTGACAAATGGACATGTTATAACCGGATATAAAATTACTGATTTAAGTGCTCATCATAATTTTTGATTTATGCAATGAATAGAAAATAATTCAACGTACACTATATATAATTACCCAAACGAATTTCGACAAAAGACGCGTTCTTGTTCAATAAGTTCAGTGGAACAGGATCTACAACTGTATCCACATTGTAATCTTGATTTCTTAATTGACATGAAGAAGAAAAGCCTTTCAAATTAATTCCTAATAGACTTCTGTTTACCATTATTCCTTTTTAATTAAATGGTCTCTGAGCAGATCTTTATTTTAGTGTTATCAATATATTTTATTATATATCGAGCGTTTGTCATTATTATACAAAAGTCTACTACTTGTTTGGAGGAGTCACAAGAATAAATGATACGCATCATAATAGATATAGGACTACTATCACATTGTAACGTAACAGTAATCGATTTTGTATTTTTTTTTCCTTTTAAATATTAGATCGAAATATGTGACTATTTCGTTTGAACGGTGTATTCAAAATTCAAACGCAATGGTCTATATAAATGGGGGGGGGTGGGGGGTGGGGGGTCATATTAATACACTGGATAAAACGTTTCTTTTTAGGTCTCGTCAAAACGCTATTCTGGAAAGAAAATATGATGATTAAAAATAGACGTTATATTCCCGAATAAATTTTGACAAATGGACATGTTATAACCGGATATAAAATTACTGATTTAAGTGCTCATCATAATTTTTGATTTATGCAATGAATAGAAAATAATTCAACGTACACTATATATAATTACCCAAACGAATTTCGACAAAAGACGCGTTCTTGTTCAATAAGTTCAGTGGAACAGGATCTACAACTGTATCCACATTGTAATCTTGATTTCTTAATTGACATGAAGAAGAAAAGCCTTTCAAATTAATTCCTAATAGACTTCTGTTTACCATTATTCCTTTTAATTAAATGGTCTCTGAGCAACAAGGATGTCGTTTCATTTCGCAGTATCAAAATTCATGGAATATAAGTAAAGGGAATCAAGTAAAATAAAAATGACTAATAGATGATGATTGATTATAAAAATCCCCTTCTATTTACAAGTAGTTGGTTTACAAATTAAAGGCTTTATGTTGCGAATTGTTATTGTTCTGCCTGACGTTGCCATGCAACCTTAGTTCTTTGCCCCAAAAGAGAGAAATATTGCGTAACAATCCTATTCACATTTCTTTGTCGCTTGGGAGAACGTTTAGTTCTTTCTAATTTTAGATGAAGCGGATCCATACTTAACCACAACAAATAAAGTATGTTGTTAATTGAAGTGGGCTATTTGGAGACCGTGTAGAGTAAACAATGAGGAAACACATACCTTGTAACAAAGGAATTGATATTGTATGATTTTGGTACCCTGTCGCAGAAAGACAACTGAGATCTGAAGGAAATCTATGAATAAAATATCAAAATATAAAGGTGTTCGAGGTAGAAAATAAAATCGTCATCCAAATGGATTATAATTTGAAAACTTGAAATGCAGTTTGTTCAGCAATAATGATCCCTATGTGCCCCTAAATTACTGTCCCTCGTCTAACTGGTCCTACGGTCATTAGTCCCAAATAAGAACCAATGGTCCTAGATCCTACTAATCCTATACGTACCATAGAGAGAGAGAGAGAGAGAGAGAGAGAGAGAGAGAGAGAGAGAGAGGAGGGGGAGACGGGGGAGAGGGGGCGGATTGAATGGGGAGGATATGGGTCAGGATATGATCCCAAGGGCAGTTGTTCTGTAAGAAATGAAGAAGAAAATGAAGATGGAAATTTCGTCACAAAAAGGTATCAATGTTTTGATTTGTATGATCAACCAAGCGGGCAAGGAGTCGTTTTCACCACTGGAATATAAGGGCATTTCTCTATTTGGGATAGTATTCTACCTTTCACATGTCATTTATTTGTAATCTTGAACATTCAGTGTAAGTTTCCTTGGATTCTGTGAGAATTTATTTTCTATAATATTTTACCAGAACTCAAGTCTATCTTAAATGACCTATGCAGAGAGTCTAAAGGGAAATAGGGGCGTATCTACATCATTTTGAATTGGGTGTAGCCGACCAAATTTTATATGGATCCAAATGGTCAAATTTGTTTTGTTTTTTAATAAGCAAGAATAAATAGGAAATAAATTCTGTCATATGCCGATAGCCCATATAATTATAATGAATATGATAAATTGAAAATTAACCAGCAGATATATTTCAATGGGGGCGTCACGCCCCCAAGCCCCCACCTCCACGGCGCCAGTGAGAGGAAGCTGAATATTAAGCTACTATGTAATCCTTGTTTACCTGATGACTTTGCAACAATTACAACAAGGAGGATAACGTCACGAAGCTGGCGTGTCAAATTCTCTGAAGAAAGATTCTCGCCCATCTTATTGTTAAAAGTAACTGCTTTGTTACATCCTAATAAGATCTGAAACCATTGCGAGTCACAACTTAGCCTTGCAAGCCGACACCAACAAAGATACTAAGCCTGATTTGTGAGGGCTCCTTGTTTGCAACATAAAGACAATCCCTCGCTCACCCAGTCCCTTTGACAATTTTGAGGGTGTTCATTTTGTTCCTACGTATTCTCCATGTAGAAGGTTCTGTTCAGGGACAAGAAATGGTTCAATAAGAGCCAGAAGCTTTCACTTTCCTTTCTTCTACAACCAGTAATTAATTATGTGCTCCAACTCGACATAATCTGGGATTATGCATTTGTAGATATAGGTTTTTTTTGTTTTTTTGTTAAGTATGTGTGTGTGGGGGGGGGGGGTGGCAGCCGGGGGCAGTCAGTTAAATTACTAAAATCGAATCCATTGGTCAACATTCTACATAGTACTGTATATGGTAACTTCTATTGCTCTAATAATGTCCTGCAATATCTGGATATAATAATTGCAAATGATAGTAAATCTAGCGGTACCGTCACTCATCAGTGTGGTCAGCTCGATCTCTGTCTTCACCTTGCCTTCACCTAGAAACTGAAGGACCCCGGTTCAAAGCAAGTCACTTCTTTCAGACTGTGACGTAAGAGCTTGGACCAAATAAATAAATCATTAAAGTAATTACATCCGATTGATGTATGTCGGTCATGTCGCTAAAACCCCAATTACGCACAGACAAACACAGAAACACAAACAAACAACAACACTTAAGAAAAGGGAGATGACGTATATAATATGTGTTCATAATTTCTTCTAAGTAGACAACATAAAGCCTACAAGAGATTCATCGAGAATGATAACTGTTTATCTTTTCCTTGAAATATTTCAATCATTGACAGAAAGCCATAGTCTTTCTATGTCATGTATATAGGAATTATACAAAGTCACATTACCAAATCGGAACATCAAAAGGAGAATGATTTCCGATATCACGTGGGTCTTTGTTTCCTGTCAATATCCTTTTTTTCTCGAGAAAAAAAAATCATGTGTGTACAACATTATCATACTAATCTTCCCATATAGGAGCATTAGAAAGGAACATTTTAAAAATATTGCTGAAACAGTCCTTTTGGGAGACGAGTTGAGGAAGGAAGTATGATGCATGATTCTGTTGGCACCTTCTTCATCTTTCATTTTGTGGCGAGATGGGGGCGGTAAAGAACCACTCCAGTTTTCCGCAATCCTTGTGGGGTCGTCTGCCTGGAAACTTGAAGGTATAAAGATTAGAGGCCTTCATTTCAGGACCAACCTCAACAAATTGAAAGTTCGAGAGTCCTATATGACCCTCGATTGTAAAACATGGAAATCAAATATTAAACAATGAGCTATAAATGGTACTGACCAGTCTCACAAACCCACAAACAAAATAATGTCGGGATATCAAGCGCGGTTGTCTTCAACGGAGAGGGGATCGTCTTCGGTTAACCGCAGTCATCGACGTCGGACTTTCAGCCTCAATATGGTGGCGCCTATATCACCTTGGTCCGGTTTCCACAACAAACAGGAAGATTTATGCCATACCACAGTAAAGACCCCCACCCCAAAGGAAAAAAGCCTCAAATAGAGCACCTAGCAGACTACCAAGAAATATATGTCATAGGTACCATTAGAAAAATCATCGACAATTATTAATTACTATGATTATTCATTCGACATTCATAAATTACAATACAATGACATATGATATAAAGACATGAGATAGCGAGAATTAATTTTTCCCCTCGAAAATCTTAAAATCGCACCCCCCCCCCCCCTTGAGCACCAGGGGAGGGGGTCCGTCTAAAAAAAAAGGTACCATTAACGTGTTTTTAGAGGCCCGGGCCCCCCGCCCCCCCCCCCCCTTGATCCGCCGCTGTTAGTACCCTGATCACTGGATTCAATTCATATGCCTCACATTTTAGTGCACTTTCTCCACTCCCTGGGGAGTTTTTCAGCTAATCGCCTTTGAAATGGTGTGCATATGCTAATCCAACCACAATAACGTTCGCACCCTGAACACCTGGGTGGGGAGGAGCAATATAGATATAAATGCCTTGCTCAGGACTAAAGTGCCGTATCGGGGCTCGAACCCCTGGCCTTTGCATTTCCATTCAAGGGGTAAAAACCACTCAACCACGACACTTCTGCATTGTTTTGAACTCCCTGGATGGAGAAACGAAAATGATTGAAAGTTATAGAACAAGAAGCCCTCATGACAATAGCTGTATGAATGATGTGCTTATTTCGATATACCTATAATTTTGTCTCTCTCTACTTTATCGTTGCCATTGTACGTTGCCGTGACTTCGTAACGATTCAAACGTGTCTAATAGGTTGGATGGATGTGATATGTTATCGTCTACGAGTATTTATTGTTTAGTCTATCACATTCATGGTTCATGAAAGTCACATACTTCTCTCGATGAAGCGGGTCCTACACACGACTGTCGATCATTAAATACAACGGGATGCATGATTAACGACGATAATCTCAAGTTCTGCTGGCCAACTTACATTTCATCTCTATCTTATACTATTCAAAGTTTTGGAAGCTGTGTAGAAATGTTCATTTCAGCTATCTGGGACAGCCAGAAACTCCAGACAACAATGAAAAAAAAATGAACAAACCTTCATTTTTTTTCTAAAAAATAGTTCCAATGTATATACCTTTCGGTTTTAGGATCCAATATCAACAGCATCTTGAAAGCGGGTGAAATAAGTACCAGTTAATCAAACTAACAGTAATATCTAAGTTTTCAACAGTAGTAGTAGGAGTATACATGTATAATTTTGCCAGTGCGAGCTCTTAATCTTATATGTATATTTGATATGAGGATATAACCTTGTTATTGTCAGTCAAATTTTGCAAAACCTGAAGAGCGATTTTTTTTTAAATCGACAACATACGACAATTCTCCCGCTACTAGAAGATATTTGCCTATGTGATGGATTTGGATGCATGCTCTGTCCAGAAAAATATGAACGATTCGTATATAACTTTCCATACTGCACGGATAATGTATGATGACGTACATGTAGAAATTTAGGTTCCAAGCAGCGAGCGCCCTTTGCGGCCAACTCGATCAAATCTGGCGGATTACTGCCGATGTTTCGTATTTCAACCCTCATTCAGTGTGTTGAATCTACTAGGGGGTGGACGTGGCAAGTTGGTGCTCACTTACAGGGGAGACGAACACAAATAGGAGTATATTTACTATCTACCGGGTGAGCACACATAGTTACTCTTTGTACTAACAGGTGTATTTTTGCGAGGCACAGGATTGAAAAAAGTGGGATCAATCTTTCGGCGCTATTACATGGTGAACTTGGACTTTGGATTGCAGTAAATTCATTTGCAACACATTAACAGAAACAACCAGACAGAGTAAACATTATTTTTTAACGTAAGTGAACGATCGAAGTACTAATTAGTAAAACGCCGAAGTGACAGAAACACAATTTATCATTGCATTTTCGTTTTTGCGAAAACTCCTGGGAGACTCAGAAAATTGTAATAATAATGTTACGAAGCTTTTTCATTTTACTTCCTAAGAATTGCTCATTTTATAGTAGTATGTCATGTATCCTCATTATACTTTGTAATGGCTTGAACTTATCCTAACCTGCCTAAGCGCGGATCAAGCTAACCTTCAACGGTTCAGAAGTTTACTCTCTGACTAAACACAATAATTACCTGTAATCATTATTATATTCTGTTTGTTTAGTGTAAGAATAAGAAAGGGTTGACAATGCATCAAAGATCGGAAACTGGTCGACCGCCTGTAACACAATAGTCATTCTGGTGGAGTAGATGATATTATTATGATTTTCCCAAAGCGTAATTTGCCAACGGCTCTACGGGTTCATTTCATTTCCACTGTAATGACATTTATGAGCATTGTATTGCGACCTTTAATCACCATCAATTGAACACACGAGTGATCAAAGACTTGCGAATTGTTCCCTGAAGCTCCCTAGCCTTGCCTTCTCACAGAAGCCATAAAGGCTAAAATATGATATCGATGAATGCATGTCTTCAAATTACCACTCCGATAAATATAACCCGACATACCGAGGAACGGAGCATGTAATTGTCGTTTGTGTTATTTGTAGTAGTTCAGCGATATTTGAGCCTTAACCAAAACCTCTCACTCCCTCTCTATCTCTATCTCTCTCTTTCTCTACTCAATCTTATCCTCTGTTATACTTCATCCTCTATATTCTTCTATGTTACAGATACAGGGAGGCGTACATAGAAATCAGGACCAAAGTAAGCGGTTGTTTTACCTAGGATAAGACAAGAGAAGACGGCACGAAATTTATTCATTGCGATATGAACTTGTTACAGTGAGTTACTGGAGTGGTGCATACAAGTTCAACAGGTGTATTTGTATCTATTTCCAGTTGATGTGTTTCTTCGTGTATCGCTTGAATCATAATTGCTCTGATCAGAATCATCAGTGAGAGACCTAAGCCAAGCACGCTCAGGATTAAAATGTGGAAATAAGCGAGACAAATTACTCCGGCAACAAATTGAAAAATCGGAACATCAAATTTCCTCCTACATTAGAAAGGAAAGAGGCACACGATAAGGCTAAGGGGATCGAATCATCTCGGTGTGTTTTCGCTTGTGGATCATAGAGCGAAGAGAGTTTGCACAACATATTACTTTTACCAAGTCGAAGGAGGATCATTCGCGCCGTGTATTTAGAGTATTTAGAAGAAGTATATCAGGAGTGCGATTGTGGGTCAATTTGTTGACCGTTTGTACCTATACCAGGCCTGCCTGCAAGGTGAGAAGATGTACGGCAAAGTTTAGCGAGGGTGAGCTGAGTGGTCTGAGGGTAACCGAGCAAGACAAGTGACCTTACGACCGAGGACTGCCTGCTGTGGCACTCAGTTCCGGGAGCAGTCTACCCAACACACCAACATCCAGGATGGATTTATGAAACAAAAGAAGATATGATAGATTTATAGAATATGATCAAACATCTAGCCCGCTGCCTCTTGCAGTTAACTAACGAAAATTCACATGAATCGAATGTACTCCGATTTACATGTATGGAACGTATACGACCCGCAAAAAATAAGCTACGGAACAATCCCTGCACCACTGCCCATACCCTCTCGCATAGTACATGTGAGCCGAGAGAGACGTGAGCGTAAGTGACTAGTAAGAAGAAGAGAGGGGACTGTACCCTTTACGTACAATTCAAACAGGAATATATGACGATATAATAATACATGTGACTTTACCGATGGTGTGCACATAGACACATCGCAATGGATATAACGGACTTTGCCTTTATACTGGTGTGCCTTCTAGGGATCCTGACTCAATGTCTGGGTGGACGGATAATCCCACCCGCTCATTACCACGGTAAGAAACTATTCATGAAGGAAACTATTGGGTCAACCATGGTCCCCAAGTACTCGGTCCATGGGTAAACTGACTTTTTGATACGTTTTATAACAGTTAGGGTATTGTCGATATTATACTCCCCCACTGCAGAGGAGTTGAAATCAACTTTGTGTAGGAGTCATTACTATTTTAGGGATCAATTATACTACGATCTGTTCCAAACTTAGTGATTGAATTTCTCTTTGGAGAGTGGTTTCCATTCCATTCCCAAAATATCCCTTATATTACTCCCCAACGAAGATTTCCACTCATGTGCAGGTGATTTACAATTAGGATATGATACCAAACAAGTGTCAAATTCAAAATAATACGAACGTGGAATCAAACTGATATAATTCCATCGCTATCTCACCCAAAAGTGTTTCAACGCCACCAACATGGACACTAACATGTTGGAATTAGAGGAGTTTACTACTTTAATTAATTCCATGTAATACTGGTGTTGTTCTATTATTAAGCAGCGGCATTTTTGATGTTGTCATTTGTAGATACCGAGGTAGTGATAATTCTAAACCCTGGCTTTACCGTTCAATATAAAAACAAAATCACGGCGACATGGGAATTCTTCCTAAGAACGGAACAAAAAATAGTTTCACATTGAACTTGTCTGGATACCTGTATATAGTCTCTTTTTGCTACCCTCCCGAGAAATGTGATCGTGATTTACGTCCTACGATTACATCGTGAACTTTGGTAAGCGTGCCCACTGCCTGACCTCTGTAATAAGAGCACATTTCCAACCACCTTTTCTTGAAGTGTTTATTTTGGTTATAATGCGTCAAAAGTATCTAAAAATATACAAGTCGATACACTTTAACAATGAAATTGACGATCTTGCTTATTTTGTCGCCGAAAGATAACCTTCCAATCTATCTTGAATCTTCCAACATATCAATTGAATTATCTAGTGTTTTGTTTTCTTAAGTTAACACCATTGGTTTCACGTCAATGCACAGTAACTGCATAACGTTTTGTAGGATGACAGTTTCAACACCATCATCAGGATGACGGTATATTGATTACGTAACAGTTAGACAAACATTTCATGACGGACAATAAATACATCGTCATTTGTTTGGGGCGAGGTAAAAAGAAGCTAACTGAACTCCCTGCATTCAGTTTAGAACAAATTGAGCATGTTCTCACGTTGTCAAAGTTCGATGAGGTAATGTTAATAACAGTTACACCATTGCTTAAAGATAAAGTTGAGTTCTGGTCATGCGATTGCAATGTGAAAGACACAGTGTGAAATCGATCAGATGAAGTTGATCATAAAAAAGTATTGATATGTACTGCAAGGTTCTGGGTTCATCAAAATGATTAGAAATTTGGCCTAGTCTAGGTAAAGTAACAAGCACTATACACATACAGATGTATATGGGACTACACAATCATGTGGCATAAAAATCGGGCTTCATTTGTATGCTATTATTTGTCATATTTAGAACATGAAAGCATTATGAAGAGCCATGCTTTTCAGGGAACATTTCTTTCTCTGATGTTCCTCCATACTTGCATAATAACAATGATAACGCTCACAAATTATTTTCACCTCCCCCATAACTCAACATTCTCTTTAACTCAATAAGATACCAGTAAATTTCAACTGAATTGTAAACCCGTCTGTAGCGCCGTATATATATACTCATGATTATCACCGTCTACTGCACTCAACCTTTTCACCTCTCATCTCTATTCATAGGCCTCTCTTTTTACCCTCTTTCTTCCTTCCTTAGTCATAGGGCTTGCACATTATCAATAGCCTGCATCACTCATCTATACTCTCAGGCGTTTATTTCTGTTTTGAAAAAGGGTAAAGGGATAAAGGAGACAAGGGGTGGATGGGAATGAGGGGGGGGGGGAGAGGGGTGTTTGTATAACAGAACGTGCTTTCAAGTATCCTCATCCCTTCTAAACGACGATCATAAAACCAAAACTTCTAAGGTTTTCGCCTCTTTTTAATCGGGTGTAAAATAATGATGAAGGGGGTCAGGTAAAGAGGTTTCCTGGTGCGTAAAAAGGTAAATTGCCCTGTCAAGCCTTTCTTTGAAAGGTACCACAGATAATGTACAGGCAGAAATATAGAGGAATACAGAAGAGATTCTGTTCTTTAAACTCAATTACTCGGGAGGTGGGCTTTCGTTTGCTGGACATCTGCAAGCTTTTGTGTGACAAAATTTGGTCATAAGAAGCTTGCAGAGCCTAGGCAAGCGAAAGTATACTCATGATCATCCAATGCAGTCGAGCCCTAATGCTGACAGTAAGAAGTGTTTATTCGACTGATATAGTAGTGAAAAGGTCTTTCCCCCTTCCTCTTTTGAGCTGAATTTCCTCATTCCTGTGGAAATGCGGGGTTCGTCTATGATCCGACATTAATAATACAGGAAGTTTTTCAATATTTGATAATAAATTTATGAATTTTAAATTCATCAACAAATATTTGGGAACCTAACAAATTTATATTTCGACCTATTCATTTATTGTTTCGTACACGCAAGGAGTACAGACATTTGTTACTAGACAAGAATTGAGAGCCCCTACCAAGGGCCACGCCCACCCTATGCACCGTTTACTACCATCACCATGCCTGTATATTGTCTGGTCCGTCTATACATTCTCATAATGCTTGGATCGCTCGGGGGAATATAATATTATAATAACATTGCGGTCATACTCTTACTGACCTGGAAATACTTTGGAAAGGGATTTAGGGTCGAGTGTTGGACAACAACGTAAACGAAGACGACCTTAGGTTGCTCCTTGGTTGCATAGATGACACTCATGCCGTGAGGATTCGAAATCTGATATCCAAGCATCGATAATGATGGGATGTTTATACAAATATGTATGTAATTGTATTATCAATCTGTTTATTTGGGGAGTGGGACCAATGGCAGAGGGACAGGAGTATACTTGGGCAAGACAGGGCTGATAAATATTACTGTTCACTGCAAGGAGGATTGGCAAGGTTGTATCTACGGGCGCTTGTCCGAGAACGATACGCAGAGAAAAGAAGAAATGAAAAGGGGAGACGAAAAACGAGAGAGGATGGGAGGAAGGTGATAGGATCCCCTCCCGCAAACTATCTCTTTTCACTTTCTTTCTTCTTCTTTTGCATTTCATTCACCGCAGAAGACCAATGTCCTTACCCCCCCCCCCCCCCCCCCCCACCCACCCCCTCATTGATGTCACTTTCACCTTACTCACCTACGCTACTCCGTTGGCACATGGTACGATAGCATCCGTTGCTACGGGAGCACAGGTGCTGCACGCAATGAACATGAACAAGACAAATATCGAGCGGTATCTTGCTCTTGCAAAATTGCAGCCATGTGAAAAATTGATCTTGCACCAGTTGCTTACCTTTAAATCAGATAATATTCATCGGAGACCGCTATGAATATCAAAGCGATTTTCTGTCATTGTACTCAACCCTGTCTCCGTGAAATTTCTTGTCAATAGAGAGCATTGTTGTCACACGCATTGTGAAAAGCCGACTGAAGTCTGTTATCCCCCAAACACCTTCATAGCCGATACCGATACCCGACAAATCATAGCAAATGTCTGGCTACAACAATGCTCACACAAAACATATCCATGGAATAAGGTTACATGAGAGGACAAGTTACCGCTTTAAAAAAAGACCCGTTCCCTCTGATTTAGAAGCAATTTAAAGCTTAAATGTGCATTGTAAAGCTTCGATGTGTATTGTAGACGCCGTCAAAACGACTGCGATGTTTCCTTGCATAAATTGATTTGTGAATACAGTGTAATATAAAAGTGAATACATATTGAACATTGGGAACATTGTTACTGCCCTCTCCATAACCTTTTCGTTGTTTAACCTCTCACTATACATAGCCTGCCACATTACTCTAATACTCTTATTTTCTCTAAGTTTAATGAAATCGATGTTCATGCTCGCAAGTTGTAGCAAAATTTGCACGGCTTGCAATTATTGATTTCATATTTCTTAAAACCTAATTTACTGTAGTAAACTGTTACTCAAGATTTTTAGGGCCATCGGTGTTTTCAATTGAATAACATTGGTACATTGTATGGAATCCCCATCCACGAATGTAATTATGTTCACGATTACGAGAAGAGTATAGGTATGTATAACTTTTAATAATGAAGTACAGTAATGTCTTTCCAAAAGAAACAAAGTAATGAATCTCAAGTGTAAATGCAAATCAACATGTCTTAGATTTGAAGTGTATTATACAGTGATATGATATTTAGTATTTCTAACCAATTTTTTTTTAATTAGAATTGCTAATATGAACAGGGCCCGCAAAGGCGCAAACTATGTATCATTTATGTATTTATAATGATTGTATGCGTGTGTCTTTTAACCTAATTTTCTCTATTTTTTCCTCTCTTATTTTCGTTTTCTCCCACTTTTATGAAATCGACGGATGTGGATCGCACGAATATGATGCCTGACCTCGACCTACCAAATTGATTTTGATCCATTTATGATGCGGATATGGAAAATGGTCATCGTGCTCGTCATGCTTGTGCGAATCAATGGATGCTGACTTCAATGTCGTCGTCCTGGACGATGTCACCGCGTTACGATATTGATTTCGACCTCGGGCTCTGCTGGTTGGTTGAATAATTTGCCGTGAATCTTTTCTGGATGTATTATTATATGGGATTAACGTCAAATAATAACAGACGAACTACAAAGACGCGTGGGCGATCACGAAATCATCATCCCAACACTTGTTGATCACAGGGGTGACTTCTTATCTTTCGATGTCATAAACAGCAGGAAAAGGACTCGAAGGCATGCTCCTAGCGAGAATGATGTCGAGCAAGAACACTCCTCGCCGTCATCGTCAGGCGTGGTCGGCGAAGATGGTCGACCACATCGCTATGTTCCGCACCATGGTCGAATGAACTACAAACTCTCTGCATACGGGAATGAATTTCATTTGAACCTTACGCTAAACCATAGACTCACTTCCAAAGCATTCGTTGTCGAATATTTGAACTCGACGGGGGTTGAGAGACGGCATCGAAACGTCGACGTGTGTCATTATCATGGCCATATCGTGGGTCATAGGAAATCAAGTGTAGCTATCAGTAATTGCCGTGGATTAGTAAGTATTGACTATTTTATATATAAGGAAGCATACAAGTGCCGGCGAGATGACGAGATAATTTATGACAAGAATAAGAGAAGACGAGTTGTTGAAACTCGCCAACTTCGACTTATTTAGGACGAGAAGACGAGAAGATGAGATGACTTCTCGTCCTAAATTATCTTGTCATCTCGTCGATATATTTATTTATACCTCAATCACACCGCTAAACTTACTCCACACCGACTCATCTCACTGAGCGTCGTATGCTTGCAAACGTAGCGAATTTGGGCTTTCGCCAGGGTTTGTAACAGGTCGTAAAAGGTTGCAAGAAAGTTCGCCAACAGTGTTAATTGTCGCAAACGGTTTTCTTGTCGCTTTACCGCATACAGTTGCAAGCCTTTGCAAACGATTGTAAGACGGTGTCGCTGAAGTTCTTTTAGATTCGCTAATGCTAGACCACGTGACCATATGGTTCCTATATAAAAACCGATTGAGTACAACCAGGAGTTAGCAAAACATTCACAAATAGTGGCAAAGGATTGGCAAATAGTTGCTAGTTTTGAGAAAAGAAACTGTCGCAAACACTCGCTCAAATGTTACTAATTGTTGCTAAACATCGCTAAAAGTCGCGAAATGTCGCAGAGGCAAACCCTGATTTTCGCCAACATTCGTCAGAGAAGTTGGCGAATCCACAATTCGCAACGTTCCCAAGCATTCGCCGCTCATTGAGATCCTTGCCATGAGGGGGTAATGCAATGTTGTGACGTCAGTCAGGTGAGGGTCTCGTCTGTGTGACTGGGGTATCACAATGGAAATATTGAGATATGAAGTAAGAATATTGGCGTAGCCAGGGTTATGTATCAGGGAGGGTAGGTCAGGGGGGGGGGGGGGTAGCAAACATCGTGATATTAAGTGTGTACAATTATTTACCTGATAATCAAACATTTTGATTTTTGTATGTAGACCACCTACCCGTTTCTTGTTATTATATATATATTTTTATTATATATATAATATTATTATATATATAGTACCAGAGGGTGGGGCCCATCGACGTTGGCACTCCTTTGGCTGACATTACCTTTATGACAAGAGGAAACAAATAATCTTTGATTGCGAACGAATTTGTGTCTGACTCTTCAAGTTTGTACCTAAAAATCGAGACGATCAGCCAGAAGCAAAAACGTACATTATTTTGAGGGGGAAAGGTAGAGGCTTACAGAGTTCCATATGGGGACCGTGTGTCGGCTTATGAGTTTCAAGCCGGTCAGAGACCTCGAGCTGTAAATACGCTCGAATAAACAAAACTGGTCTTTCTCAAATATGAACAGTCCGATATACTGTGTGCTACGCGTCAACATGATACATTCCAACAGCAATTCAGGCAGACCCCAATCATTCAGTTCGCTTTGATTTAAATCCACCGGTAAATCACAAAAATATTTTCATTTCATTTTCATTCATTCTCGTGATAAAGTGGCTGAGTTAGAGCCACGAAGCTTATGAAATGCACCGAAACTGCCGAAAAGAAAGACGTACAGCCTTCAGTTCAGGTTGTGACAAAATTTAATTCCATGTTTCACAGCTCACACACAGATACTGCATACCGCAATCAATCACAATATTCGGTTATTCAGTGAACAAAAGTGAAACCTTGGCTATTGCAGTCCCAATACCAAAAGGAAATATCTCACCTCCCTGGTTCGAAGTAATAAATAGGGTCTTTACACCTCTCCACCATATACGTAGCTCAACCGGCTTTAATAGGAGGGGGGGGGGGGTGGGGGGAGGGGGTGTCTCAAGCGAATGTGCCGAATGAATTATTGTTGAACAAATTCTTGACACAATATTCAAAGTGCGAATGCGCTAACAATTCAATTCAGTTTATTCAAGATCTATTCAAGATTTATAACAAGATCTAAAAAGCCATTATTTGGATGAGGACGTGGGAAGCGTAATAGCTCAATGGTAGAGCAGTGGTCTCGTAACCAGGATGTCCCGGTTCGAAACCAATTCGATGCGCTATGCCTATTGCCCTTTCGTAATACATTAATCTGCATTTCCAAGTCCTTTGAGAGGACTTAAAGCCGTAGGTCCCCTGATTGGTTACTTACAAACATACACATGCTTTTTTTAGCAGTGAGGTAAAACAAAATACCCCCCAAAAGGGATATGAAGAAGGGGGCAATTTGCCTACCCCATAGGGCTTCACTATAACCCCTCTCTTTCTCCTGTGAGGGGGAACAACTTTCGTGGCTGCTTGAACCATACCCTAAAACCAGGTCATATTGAGAATCGAGATTCAACGGTTTGTGAAGGTACACTTGAGGAAATACTTACATTCTACAGTTAACTGAATGGCCACGTAAACATGCTATATTTGCCAAAGACTTGAGCAAAAATTCACTTCTATTGGAACGAAATTGAAAGAAGAATGTGGTCATGTGATATGTCCCCTTCTCGTATTAAAATATGCACTTTTTGGTCATACATCCATCGTACCAAATCGCTTTCCGCTCCTGCTATCATGCTATCACTACTATTAAGGTTTAGTAGGATTTGGAAGGCTTGTGTATTGATGAATTTGTTATCCCTGTGTAGACTAGAATAATATTAGTAGAATATCACATCGCATAATAGACTCGTAGTTTTGCTTTATAATTATGTTAGTACATCAGAGGAACAATCGACAACACGAAACTTTGTTTGGAATCCCGCATTAACCATAGTAACCATGGTTACCATCATCTGACAGCATAGACAACACAATAACAGCAATGCAAAGATATGCCCAAACAGGACGATAACAACCGTAATTACTGACATTTATTTTCATCATGGGATTTACTATGAGGACACATTTGAAGTTTATGATTTCCTAATGATATTTTCCAATCGAATGGCAGTAATAATTATGTGCCGAAGAGGAAATTGAATGAAACAGAGGAGGGTAAGACGGAAAATACACGGGGTGGTCATGAAGACGTAGCTTCAGTTCATCGGAGTAGCCGTCCTTTTCCATGTTAGGGGCACCGACTTTTTTATTGAAGAGGAATAAAGGCTCGATATATGCCGTTAGATTGTTGTAAAATGAACCGTTTGTTAACCCAAGGGGTGGGGTGGTAACCTCCGACACCCCCCCCCCCCCTCCTCCTTGCTTACGTCAGCAAGTATGAGGACTCTATCGTGAACTAGATAAATACAATGGATTAACAAAATCTCTGTATGGGCTTACATTCTTCCTAATAGTATATGGCAAAGAAAATACATCATTCTCGATATGGCAATATTCTTGTTACAACTGTATCTTAAAGGCCGTATGTACTAGTTTGGCTTGAAGGAATTAGATCACCCAGGAAGGTCACTGACAGGTGGCTATCTCATCAATTCAGCTCTCACTTAACGTTTTAAAAAAGAGGATCATGGGGGACCAATGGTCACCGATTAGGCATTGTTTTCTATATAGAGGGAGCAAGTAGCTACACGTATAGTACAGTGGGCCTTTGATATACGATTTACAGTCACAAAGCAAAACACCATTTTGAAAGTAGATTCTGGATTGGTCTGTGGAGAGGTGAAAGCTCGTACCTGTACCTCTCTATAACCCCAGTCCCAGCCATCACATACCTTCAAACGGAGGAAGGTGATTGGTTTGAAAGTGATATGCAATCAGGATGTCATACGTGAACATTGACAGAAAATAGATTTATTACCATCATCCCACGGGATGATTTTAATTGGCTGTCTGCCGTCACGTGCCTCCAATAAGTTTTGGACAATTCAATTTCCAGGGGTGGAAACTTAAACTTTACAATTTCCCCTTCACGTCGGGGTATGTTGATTGCCTTTTGCTTGACTCTGTTCCAATGAGCGTAATAAATCATAGTGATTTTATATTTCCATTACGCGACAAGAAAAAAAAGAAGTTTAATTTACGGACGGTTTAATGGCGGCTGATACAGAGTAAATATCGTTTGCATCTTGACATTTACGTTATAATTATAGGTTTCAAATTAGAGGACGGCAAAGTGCCAATTGAAGAACAAATCACACTTATTCAAATTTATATTATTTGTTTGAACATTGTTCACTGTTCTCATTATATTTAGTGAACATGTGTTTTGTGCAGTAGGCCTGATGCCTCAAGCATCTTATGGGCTTTGGGGTGAGACGAAGACGATGAATTACAAATCATTTTCTTGAAATACAGTTTATCGAACTTGACGTTGAGAATGATATTGAAATCCAAACCGGAGACCAAACTCAACGTATGGCAACAAATTTTCAAGAATATCTGTCATTGAGTAGGAATCACTTCACTGAACTTACGTCGGGAAAATGTCGAGCGGGGCTGAAACTTAAGGCAAGGTTTGTGCTTAATGCTTTGATCATGTGATAAACATCATGACAGACTGGTAACTGAGAAAGACATGCGACTCCTTACCTGCCTGCCTGCAGGAGGGTATCTTGGAATATAATCAAACTCAACTGATTGGACTAAATGACGCAAACGGGACTTGAATTATCTCTATTTCCGAACCTCAGGTCCCACGTTTCCATGAAAGACAATACTGTAGGTCTTAATATTTTAGGATATCCAATATTTGGGGAAAGGGAATTGGTCGAATTATTAGAAAATCAATCTTCGAATAATAAAAAAGAAGGACATATTTTAATGCAAATTGCAAAATGTATAGAATATCACAGTTTATAACACACGAAGTCGATATAATCAACATACACGTCAACAAAAATAAATGGCTAATATGAATTTATAAGCAAACGCAATAATAACAAAAACAAAACAAGAACAACACAATAGATGCCGTTGCCGCCTTTGTCGTCTAGCAAGATATTGTTCAGATAAGAGGTTAAGAAAATGATGAATATCTCCAATTAATTCCGGGAGAAATCTTTTGTTGTGCACTCGACAGTGACTCCATAAATCAGACACCTGAAGTCATCACAATAAAATCACCATTTCATACATCGTCATCCGTTACATCCTCTATTGTGACGTCATGATTTTTTCGTAGAATATGAAGAGAGACTGCCCTTCCATTGTTGGTTGATGAAATAATTGAAAAGAGCCACACAGGCCCCTCCTACTTTGCTGAAGAAGATAGAAATAGCGTTTCTTATATATCATATACAAATAATAATGATGTCAATACAAGGTTTACCCAAGTGAAGGCAGAAAACATAATCAAAACAAAGAAATTGTGGAAGTTTGAGAAAAATTCAGACACAGAATATTAATTCATTTGTTTCTGATTCGAGGCCACTTATATTATGGATGTGGAAAAGGGGAAACAAATTGTTAGCAGACATTTTACCGCTAAAAATATAGGCCTAACTGAACATTTTTGGGCCTGAGGAAGTGGCTATGTTTACAGGGAATGATAAAAAGACTGCAATACACACAACCCATGTACGAAGTGTAAAAATAACCCTTTAGCAGTACAGCTTTTCTTATTGGTTGATAGTTTTTCACCATGCCAACAGAGAACTGAAAACCCCACGCTGATTGGCTCACATTTTAACCTGTTGCATAGTCGCGATCGTATCGCAAAACTGGTATTGCTACCTGCACTGACAGATGTCGGTGGATGGGACTTGTTGACAAATCTGTCCATTCTCAGTTCTTGCGACCAAACTTGCGACTATCTACTGTAGATGTAAACCTACTTCACATTTTAGATAAGGAATATCAGGTAATCCTCTCCCGTAATCGTGTTAGAATGGTCTTATAAAATTACTGCATACAACTTGCGATGTAGCCATGACTGACTGAGTGGAGACCGAAGGCGAAGCTTAAGGCTGCACTTGTTATGTTCAGTCCCATGTGTTGTTTTTTTTGTGTAGAATTCAATGGGGCTGTAATGCGTGATTTGCATTCTCATGTTATGGCACAGAGCTGGGTGATCGTTGTTAGAGTTTAGGCCTAGAAATCTACTCCTTTAGCGATACAAAGATTTTGTTTCCCCGTTATTTACCTAACTAAACAAGTTCGCATAGCCATTTGGGATTAAGCTGTAGAAGTTAGAAGCCTTATGATGAAATAAAAAGAAGATAAAAGAAACTGATTTAACTTTTCAATTTAACTAAGGACGTTTTTTTTCAGTCTAAGCCTTGGAAGTTGAGGAGTTTTTTAAATACGGTATATCCCCGAGCAAAATAGAACAATTTTTTTGTATGTAAGTCTAAGTAAGATTAGGTTTTAAAGTTATTGCAGCTACATGTAGTAACATTACTGAATGATTTGATTGCATTTCTTCATTTAATTTTTATTATTTTCATTTTTTTTCTCCATTTATAGCATGGATATATCAGATCACATGATGGGGAGGAGTATATGTTGGAACCTGTGGACCATTATAAAAAGTTTGTGCGGGAGGGACATCCTCATATTATTTACAAGCGTTCATCACCCCCTCACCAAGAGGAACCTGAAGAAGAAAAGGTGGCATGCTCAGTTAAAAGTAAGTCTTCATCTCTTTTTTGTTTCTTTAGTATAATGAAGATGAACTTGATATTGCATTTGTGCATAGTGAGACAAGGAAAGCAGTTCATTGAGATGGTATCAATAAATGTTAAGTTAAGTTAAGTTTTAAAAAAGTCACTGGCTGGCTGTCAAGTGAGAAGGGAGAAAGTGTGTGTGGGTAAGTAAGAGAGAGAGAGAGAGAGAGAGAGAGAGAGAGTGTTGAAAGACAGACAGAGAGTTGAAAGACATACAGGGGCACAGAAATACTGATTGCAGAAAACTAGTTACAAGAGAGAAAGAGAGAGAGAGAGAGAGAGAGAGAGGGGGGGGGGGGAGATGATATCACCATAGTCCATGGAGAGAACACATGTATCAAACTTTCCTTATCTGATAAACTCATTCCCATCATCTATATGTGTCATCCATTTAAAAAGCAATTTCACCAGTTTCTGAATTCATGTTTTGCCATGCATGTGTAGATACTTCCTCAGAACATCTATGACAAAATGTAGTTCTGTATTTCCGTTCCTCATTTGATGGCAGTTACTATGAATCACTCCCTTCCCACACGCTGCTGCCGCTCACATGAGGTTTCAGTTTTCCTAATAATCAGAACCACGAGACTGAGGCACATGGCCAGGAGTATGTTTTAGATATTAAGACTGTCATGTTTACAGGATATACAGTGTGAACATGTTGTCTCGTCAGCAGAATACTTATCCACTGTGGACCACTTGGGCTTAGCCTAACCTCCTTCCACTAGGGACTTTGCACTGTGATGTTACCGTTGATGTTCAGTCTGTGGGCAGAAATATATTGTCTGTATTGAGGCTACAATTTTACATTGGACATGCTTTATTTGAACAACATTGGGGCAGTTACAACTAGAATTTGAAGTATGACTAAAATAATATGTTTTCAATTCACATGAATAGTCCATTTAGGAAAATGATACAGATTTTAATGCAATATGTCATCACATTTTATTTTACATTTTAGGGGAATGATGGTTCTATTCCAAAGTCTTTTGATGCTAAATGAGATTTCGTTATGATTTGAAAATTTATAACAACATTAATTTCACTTTTCTAAACATATGTGTATACTCAAAGGCACAATCTCCTATTCTGAGGAAAGAGGTATTTATGTACACGGAGGATGATTTTAAAATACAGCTGAAAAAATCTTTAAAAGAGGGAAAGACAGAGTTGCTGAGAAAGATTGATATTTACACTCGTTCGCTATGGGAACCAGGTCGTTCCTATTTTAAGTCTGTTTGTATGACAAAATTCAGTCATCAGTTGTTCATATTTTGAGAACACATAGAACAAAAATCTTCATTTAGGTACAAGTATATTACAGGGGAAAATACTCTCAGTAATGCAGATGGTGTGATCGATAAGCAAGCATAAATAATCTTCTTTGGCAAGTTGTAAAAGGCTTTGCGTAACTGCAAGTAAAAGGCATGATGCTAAAATAGACTCTACATTGTGAATCAGATTGGGCTGAAGGAACATGATTAAAGCACGAAACAGGATTGACTGTGATTGTGAAGAGGAGCATGGAAAAAGATTTCTAAGGGCAAGGATTTAGTCATTCATGTCTGTTTTTAAACCACTTGAGTCTTACGCTGAACTGTTGGTCCCCTCCTGGTACAAGTCACAGGGAAGATAGACCCCAGCTAGCTCTCAAGTGCCTTTCACTTTTAATCCTCAGTAAACATGAAGAACGATAATTACACAGGCTGGCTCCATGACTCCTATCTAAAGACTCTGACTGCTGTAAGAAGCAATGAGAAACAGACTAGTCAGTGGAGAGCTCATCACTGTAGTTATTAGGCCTGCTTCATCTGCTCGAGATTGCCAAATATCCCGCTATTTCACCTATCCAGATCGCATATTATCCAGTTAGTTTGCATCTTCATCAGCCCGACATTGCAATGAGCGGGATATTTGGTCGGGATAATCATCCCAAGATATCTTGGGATAATTTGCAAAATATCCCACCATTTGGCAAAATATCCAGCTATTTGTCCGGTGCGTCTTCACCAACCCGAAGACTCGCACTATGCGCGAACACTTAGCAAAATATCTCGAGCTAATTTCTCATGGTCGAGTTTCAAGTTTTGAGGTCGAATCTCGAGCTGATGAAGACGCGATTTGTAACTTCCGGATTATTTCCCAAATCAGAAATAGCGGGCTGTTTGGCAATCTCAAGCTGATGGAGACATGCCTATTGAGTGTGCTAATCCACAAGGCTTCCTAACATTACAAGAGCACCTAGGGCTAGGATAAGCCACTCTCATCCCTCTTTGCTTTCACTTGATTTTAATGCACATAAACTGCACCTGCTCAAAAAACTACATTAACACTTTTAAGTCCAGGTAGATACCTACTGTACATAGAGTGGTAGCACAAAATGTTCATCCACCTTCATCTATAGAAATCTACCTTGCTTAGACGTAGAGTCAGTACATTAATTAGTCTTGATTGTTAAATGGATCTTATTGCTCTCTAGGGATAGGTAAACAAAGTTTTGGGTTGTAAATTGGTGACTGATTTGATAGTGGCTTGGTTTGGTAGTGGCTTGTGTTTATGTAGACGAGTGAAGGGTTTCTTTGGGCTTGGGTTTTTGTGGATTTGGAGGTCTATGTGTAATGGACGTCATGGCATGTCATTCCCCTTGGTTAAAAGTGCATTCATTCATTGTGGCAAACTCGGTTGTCATTCACAACAATCATCCATGGTGTGAACAGAATAAATCATCCCTCTGGAGCCAGAAGGGCTTTAACTCTGTTTACAATGATATGAGTTAATGCCCTTTTGGCTCTAAACAGACAAATCTTAATCCCAGAATGATTAATTCCTTGTCAGCCGTAGGCTTCAGAGTATCACTGTCATTGAATCTCATTCATCAGAGATGAAAAAGTCTAGTCATTTCAGTATTAATTCAGGGTATCATCTTCACAATGTAAATCACTGTACACTCTTTCACCCAGATAGTCACATGACATTGCCACCTGACATGTTTGATAAAACCAGCCTCATTTCCCTCCTACGATGATTTACTGAGAATCTTTGTTCAGTACATTCATACAACAATAACATAGCTCCAGGTTATATCTTCAAGTTATAAGCCACACAATTGACACAATATCCTTGGGTACAATATCTTAATTCTATTCAACTTTATCACCAATTTCAAAAGGATTGTTCATCACTAGCATCTACAATTCCTGCTGTGCAGCAACAGTGTGTTGTGTTGTATCTCTTGTTGTTGATATTTGTATGTCTTTGGTTGTAAATGACATGAACTTTGAAGCCAAAATGATAGCAACAACAAAAACAACAACAGTGTAGTAAGGCAGCTTTATATCAAAATGTAGTGGCACAAAAAAAGGCATCAAATCAAAAACGTAAAACGTGCATACATGTACACTGTAATAGTTACTATTTAGTGATGTTTGTTGATAAGAAGTTCTTTTTTTAAATATGTCCAAGTAAAATTTTAGCTAACATTAAGCTTTGAGATGGTACATGTATATTTATTTACAAACTCCATATCCTAACATTGCGATTCTACCTCTGTGTGATGAAATTATGATTTTCATCAATGATGGGGTTAGCATTCCGCTTCATTTCCACTACTTCATTTTGCTACTAACATAACAACGATAGTGCACTGTACGTGCAGCAGTAATCAGATCATGTGAGAACACCTACAACTTGAAGATTTTCACTTATATAGATCAAAGTTCAAACTGGCGATACTAGAATCAAATTCACTTTTAATTCAAACAGATCTTCGTTTCGATTTTTGCATTTCCAACCAGTCCGAAACTTGGAGCAGTACACATCTTGTCTTGATTAATTTTCATATTATAAATAGTAGCAAGATCGAGCTACTTTCAGACTTGGACAATGGTTTTTAGGCATTGCTCCAACCTGTCAGTTTGATCAATTTTCGCATGCATTAAGTGTTTCCAGATTTATGGTTTTGGCTGCTTGTACTAGTGTTATTTCCCCTATTTCTTCCTTCCCCCTAATCCTTTTTCCTGCCAAATCAGTCTCCTCTGCAGAAATGTAAATCCTGCTGTTGAGAGTCAAGTCATTTGGTCAAATTTGCAGAGATTTCCTGGGCTTTGACAGATGTAGAGGCCTAACTGCGCAAGTAGTGTTGGAACAAGAAGATGTAGAAGGGGGTAGGAAGAGAGGGAGAAGGAGAGAGAGAGAGAGAGAGAGAGAGAGAGAGAGAGTGTGTGTGTGGGGGAGAAAGAGGGAGAGGGGGGGGGGGGGACATATGAAGATATCTAGATTCAGACCCCCACCTCATCCACTATGGATATTGCTCTTTATACTCTTTCGCAGCATATACTCCAAGTAAGAAAACAGCAAAAAGTTTTGACTGATTTCTCAATTTTGAAGAGTTGTTGACTGCATATGTTCATGCTCATTATCAATACTAATAAATACATAATAATAATTAAAACGTTGCTTATAAAGTGCTTACCACTGAAGTCTCTAAGCGCTATTATTGACGATATATGATTTGTTGATTTAGAACCATTTCGATTTGAGAAGAAAGAGGATAGAAATGAGAGGGAAAAAAAATCCCCTCTGATCCTACCACCCAGTTTATTAGATATAACATTCCCCAAGGTTATAATTTGTTTTGATCAGACAGTGGGAGTTTGTCTGGTAGACCCATAAATGAAAATCCTTTTTGTAAGTCTGTCAGCAGAAGATTGGGCTTGGGCAGATTGATGGAAGGTCGAAGGTCAAAACCATTATTTATGTATGTTTCTTTTACAGAGAAAAGAATAGGGTCACTGACAACAAACTTGAATTCAAACTGAGAGAAAAAAAAGAGGTATATATGGTTTGTTGAGATCTTTGATCCAACATTCTTGTCAGCAGAATTATCTTGTTTCTGTTTTTTCTTCTTTGATAGATGAGAAGTTAGCAGGGGAATCTGCATTAATTGTAAGAAAGCAGCAGTACTACACAGCAGAAGAATGAAATAATATGTCAGAGCTTGGTTCATAGTATTTGATGGATGAAGTAGAAAATAGAATTCAAGTTTAATCAACATTTAATCGGAAGATGGACTGAAAACGTCATCAGCTTGCTTGAAATACAAGCCTGCATGCATCACCATTGGATCAAATCTCCAATCTCCAATATTTAAATAAAAAAGAAAAAGGAAAAATTGTGAATAACTGACAGCAGAAATATTCCACCTTCAAAGTTGTTTTGATTCTTATTGGTTTGCTTAAAACCAACAGATTTGCAAATGTC